CTATTTCGGTTTGGAGGGATAGCGTTTGTGAAAGGCAGTAACTAACCTCCTAGCATGTACATTAGATGAATCTTCCCAAGTGTCTTCATCAACTCCATAACCTTTCCATCTGATAAGGTATTGTAAGGAGCCACGGTGGACACGAGAATCCAAAATTTTGTGAATTTCATATTCTTCTTCACCTTGGACAATGATAGGTTCAGGAGTTGTTACTATTTCCCTATAAAAAGGATCAGGGATGTGTGGTTTAAGTAAGGAGACATGGAATACTGGATGAAGTTTAAAACTTGGAGGAAGTTTTAGTTTAACAACATTATCATTAATGATAGTAATTACTTGAAAGGGACCAAGAAAAAGAGAGCTCAATTTCTTTGAAGGACGGCTTGTGGTAATATTCCTTGAAGAGAGCCAGACAAGATCCCCTACCTTGTAAGGAGGGGGAATTCTTCTATTATTGTCAAAAAACTTTTTCTGGTTATTTTGGGCGAGTTGAAGATTCTCCCGTAATTTGAGAAATAGAGAAGACATAAATTCGTTTTTTGATGTAACAGTAGGATTGGATGAAGTAATGGTTTGGATGGGGAATGAAGACGGATGAAAACCATAGTTGGAGAAGAAAGGAGTCATTTTCGTACTAGAATGAATGGTATTATTGTAAGAAAATTCGGCCATAGGTAACCATGTGGTCCAGTCATCTTGGAGGTATGAACAATAACATCGAAGATATTGTTCCAAACATTGATTAACCCTTTCTGTTTGCCCATTAGTTTGGGGATGATAAGCGGAAGAGAGTTTGCGTTGAATTTGAAGGGAGAGACACATCTCTTTCCAGAATTTGGAGGTAAATTGTGTCCCCCTATCAGAAATAATTTCTTCAGGAAGACCATGAAGTTTCACAATATTGTCAATAAAGACCTTAGACAATTCTACAGAGGAGGGTAATTTTTTTAAAGAAATGAAATGGGACATTTTTGTGAAGCGATCCACAACGACAAGAATAGTGGTGAAATGTTGAGGAAGGTGGAAGGTGGAAGATCAACGATAAAATCCATAGAAATGGATTGCCAAGGTTTTTCTGGAATAGGTAAGTTAAGTAGTAATCCAAAAGGTTGATTATGTTCTGGTTTAGACCTTTGACAGATAGGACATGTTTTGACATATAATGCAATGGTTCTATCCTGGCGAGGCCACCAATAATATCGTGAAGTTAGTTCAAGTGTTTTCTTTATTCCAGGATGTCCAGCTAGGGGGGAATCATGAACCATCTTAAGTAATTTATTCCTAAGAATGGGAGGAATATAAATTCTATTTTTAAAATAAAATAGACCATCCTTTTTTGTTAGTATAGGTGTTTTGGGAAGTTCAAGATCCTTCTGATTCAAATTCTTTATGTCATCATGAAGAGAAGAGAGGATTCCTATTATTTTGGTAGAAGGATAATCATCAGTAGTAGTTTTAGAAGGAATTCGAGAAAGAGCGTCAGCCTTTTTATTTCTATTTCCAGGTCTGTATATTAATTGGAAGTTAAATCGGTTAAAAAATAGGTTCCATCTAACTTGTCTAGCTGTAAGGGTTTTGTTAGTATAGAGATATTCAAGATTTTTATGGTCAGTATAAACTATTATAGGTTGTTTTGTATCTTCCAGAAGATGACGCCAATTTTCGAAGGCAGCTTTAACACTTAATAATTCTTTTTCACCAATAGGATAATTTTTTTCAGCAGAGCTCAAGGATCTTGAAAAAAAGGCAACTGGATGAAGTGGATCTTGTGGAGTCTTTTGTTGAGAAAGAACTGCTCCGATGGCTGCATCTGATGCATCAACTTCAAGAACATATAGGAATGTTGGATTAGGTAGTTGTAGAATAGGTGCAGTTGTAAATCTTTTTTTTAATTCGTCGAAGGCTGTTTGAGCATCTTTATTCCAATTAAAAGGACGTTTACTACTGTTGAGGAGGTTAAGAGGATGTGATACATCCGAATAGTTTCTAATAAATTTTCTATAGAAGTTTGCAAATCCAAGAAAACGTTGTAATTCTTTTGTAGTAGTAGGAGCAGGCCAATCAATAATACATTTGATTTTGGAATTATCCATCTTCAAAGAATGAGGTGAAATAATGTATCCTAGAAAAGAGAATTCAGTAACCTCAAAAAGGCATTTTTCTGGTTTAGCGTATAATTTATGAGTTCTCAGTCTAGATAGAACCCATCTAACATGTTTCCTATGTTCATCCAAATTGTTAGAATATATTAAGATATCATCTAAGTAGATAATAACACATACATCCAGAAGATCTCTAAAGATATCATTGATAAAATGTTGAAACGTTGCAGGGGCATTACAGAGCCCGAAAGGCATCACTAGATATTCGTAGAGACCATATCTTGTCCGGAAGGCGGTTTTCCATTCATCATCCTGTTTTATTCTAATGAGGTTATATGCGCCTCGAAGGTCGAGTTTAGTGAATATAGTTGCAGTTCTTAACCTTTCAATTAATTCATTTATTAGTGGAAGAGGATAACGATTTTTAATAGTTATTTTATTTAAGGCTCTGTAATCTATAATAGGATGGATGGTTTGGTCTTTATTCTTCACAAAGAAAATACTAGAAGCAGCAGGAGAGGTCGAGGGTCTGATGAACCCTTTGCGTAAATTTTCATTAAGATATTCTTTTAAAATTTCTAACTCCTTTTCAGAGAGTGGATAAATATGACCATAAGGAATAGGAGCTCCGGGTATGAGATCTATTGGGCAATCATATAGCCGATGAGGAGGAAGTGTTTCCGCTTCTTTTTTACAAAAGACATCTGCAAAATCGGAGTAGAATGGAGGTATAACTGGTTCTACAGTAGTTTGGAGAATAGGAATGTGTTGTAAGCACGTTTTTTTACAGAAATCAGAAGCAAAGGAGATGGAGAAGGGAGACCACTTAATTAAAGGATCATGGTTTTTTAACCAATTAATTCCTAGAATGACGGGATAAAGTGGAGATTTAATAATATCAAATGTAATGAATTCGAAATGTACGTTGTTGGTAATCATTCTTAGAGGGATTGTTTCATCTTTGATGGGTCCTGAGGATATAAATGAACCGTCAATAACTCTGATTGGAATAAAATTGGTTTTTTGAACACAAGGAATTTTATTTTTGAAACAAAAGAAAAATCAAGAAAAGTTCCATTAGCACCAGAATCAATGATGGCCTCAGTCACGATTCTTTTTGTATCCCACTGTAATATGAGAGATATAGAAAAATAAGTAGATGCTTTTCTTTTTTGAAAAACGTTCAATATAGAGGTAGATGAATGAAGCTTACCACCTTTTGAATGTTTCAGTAGAGGACATTCGGAAATTAGATGTTCATTCGAAGCACAATACATACATAAGTTTAGTTGTCTCCTTCTTATTCTTTCTTCAGAAGTAAGAGGACTTTTTATTATACCTACTTCCATAGGTTCAGTTTGTGGAGGAATTTTTTCAGGTAGTTTTAGAGTAGTGAAAGGTTTTCTCCAGGTAGAATTAGTAAGAACCCTTTCAGCTTTTCTTTCTCTTAGACGTCTATCAATACTGATAGACAGTTGAATCAATGCATTTAAGGTAGGAGGAAGTTCTGTACGAGAGAGTTCATCTTTCACAGCTTCAGATAATCCGAGACGGAATTGATTGCGTAAAGTAATGTCATTCCATTGGGTTTCTGTAGCCCATCTTTTGAATTCTGCAATATAATCTTCAACAGGTCTATTCTTTTGGTGTAATGTTCTGATGGTTAAATCAGCAGTAGTTTGTTTAAAAGGATCTTCATATAATAAAGACATAGCTTCAAAGAACTCATCCAATGAATCTAATATGGGATCATCATTTTCCAAAAAGGAATGGGCCCAGGCCATAGGTTCACCTCTTAAAAAAGAGATCACTGAACAGACTTTGGATCTTTCGGTGGGATAAGATCTAGGTTTTAAAGCTATTAGTAGTTTGCAAGAATTCAAAAACTCTCTGTACTTTGTTCTATCTCCATGAAATTTTTCTGGATTACAGACAGCAGGATCACCAGCCGATTGAAGAGCGGCATGAGGAAGATGACCTTGAATGTCTCTAACATAGGTTAATATTCTCTCATTTGTAATTTGCAGTTCCTGTAACCCTTGAGCAATCGTATCCACTCTATTGGTTAGGGCAGAAACTTGAGAGTTAATATCTGCTGGTTCCATTGAATTGGGCTGGATTATTCTGTAATACTTATTTTGTAATATTTCTTTAATTGGAACTCAACTGCAGCATTTCTTGGTTGCAACAACAATAAGGTTCACCTCCTTTTATATTGGTATGAAACTATGGTCACTGTACCTTTAAATATCCATGTAGGTAAAATTAGGCTTTGTAGCAATCCCTTATGAGTAAGAGGAATAATTAGACAAAGTGACACTTTAGTGAGTTTTAGATACTGTGTAATATAAATAATAGTAATTGACTTGTTTGGTAAAAGTATTACTTAACTTAAAGGCAGTTCTGGCACTGGAAGGGTTAATTCACCCAATGAAGGAGAAATTAGAAGTCCGTTTCAACAAGCTGAGAACTAGGAGTGGAGAGTGGGGAAGTCCGTTTTAACAAGCCGAGGTCTGGGAGTGGAGAAGGTAGAATTCAGAGTTACAAGCCGAGGTCTAGGAGTGGAGAAGGTAGAAATCCGTTTACAAGCCGAGGTCGAGAAGTGGAGAAGGTAGAAATCCGTTTACAAGCCGAGGTCGAGAAGTGGAGAAGGTAGAAATCCGTTTACTAGCCGAGGTATAGAAGTGGAGCAGGTAGGATCAGAAGTAGAGCAGCTGATCTTCATGCAGCACCTGTGCGAATAATCCAGCCCTTTGAATCTGGCGCGGTCCTCCTAAGTATCGTGGAGGGACCGCGTCAGAGAAAGGGGCGGGGCTGAGCGCCGTGAACCCGGAAGTGGGTTCCGGCGATGAATTACATGCCATGCTATACCTGACACAGATACACACACAGTCAGATACACACACAGTCAGATACACACACAGTCAGATACACACATACAGTCAGATACACACATACAGTCAGATACACACACATAGTCAGATACACACACACACACATAGTCAGATACACACACATAGTCAGATATACACACACAGTCAGATACACACATACAGTCAGATACACACATACATAGTCAGATACACACATACATAGTCAGATATACACATACAGTCAGATATACACACATACAGTCAGATATACACACATACAGTCAGATATACACATACATAGTCAGATACACACATCCAGTCAGATATACACATACATAGTCAGATACACACATACATAGTCAGATATACACATACAGTCAGATATACACACATTTATATCAATTTAAGTCTAGCCACCCTCTTGTCTCCTTACCTTTAGAGAAGGGTGGCTTCCCTGGGGTCCAGTGGAAGCTGGATGGCTGAGGTTGATGGGAGTCTGATGAACATGTTTACCTCAGTCCCTCTCCTTCACCTCCTCCTCCTGTGTGCATCCTCCCTCTCCTCCACTTCCATGTGTGTCTCCTCCTCCCCAGCGGCACTCTGTTACTTGGGAGGAAGTGATCTCACCTCACTTCCTCCCAGCAGGCATACAGACAGGGGCCCGGTCGGGTGCTCAATTAAAGGGCGGGGGGCCCTGATTACTTCACTTGCCGAAGCCCACTGGGATATTTCTCAGTATCCCGGTGGGCTGTTCAGTCCTGGCTGCGGGCAGGGGGCCCACGGGACAGCTGCTTTGGGCCCCCCAGGAGCAACTGGGCCCGGGGCAGCTGCCCCGTTTGCCCCTTGTTAAAGACGGCCCTGTACTCACCAGAACTCATTCAATAAGCTTTAGTTGTTCTGGTGACTATAGTGTCCCTTTAAGTGTGTCTCTATCACACAGCCAATGTTATGGTGGTAAGAAGCAGGTAAATAGTGCTGAAATATGACAAAAACATTTTTAAATCTAGGAAAATGTGTTTTGCATTTTGTTTTGTTCTTTTACACACTTCTAATTTAGAAAGAGCGAACGGGTTGCATAATCCAGAGAAGTAATTAGATAAGTGTTCATGAACTGTTTTCATCAACCAAACTGAGAATTTCCAGGTGAACCTTATTTTCCTGGACTATTCTGCATGATGCATGACAGAACATGAAACGTTTTACCTTAACCCCTTAAGGACACATGACATGTGTAACATGTCATGATTCCCTTTTATTCCAGAAGTTTGGTCCTTAAGGGGTTAAATAATGTAGAATTAGATGTGCATGAAAAGCGCAGTATGTAAGATCCATTGTTACAGGAGAGCAGTCTAATAAATCAAACATACAGGACCCCAGAGTAGTGTTGATTGATACTGGATTTCCCTTCTTCAGCTTATAAAGTGCAATTGCTGCAGTTCAGCAGCATCCATGTAAAACCCACAATCAGATAGGAGGGGCTCCTTCCCAAACCTCACACTTTTAGCATGAACTTCAGCATTTACACAGGTATTCTCTATAGTGTTAAAGGTCAAAAATGTATATTAAATAGTTTGTTTACTAAACATCAAAAAAATCTAATTTTAAAAAGTGATTTGAATTTTTTAAAAATAAATATAGTATATTGAATAAACATTTTATATATATATATGTGTATTTAAAAAAAAAAAAAAATTTCCCTTCATTTATTTATTTTGATATTTCTTCATTTATTTATTTTGCTAAATGGGCCTACAATCTGTAAAAAAAAAAGAAAAAGCCAGACTGTAAAGGATCATCACCCTGTGGTGTGGTGCTCAGACAATGACTGAGAGACAATGAACTCAGCCTTGGACTGAGGTGTGACGTCACGGCGGCAGAATGGGCCGCTCTTCTTGTCCATTTCAGCGCGCGTTCAATAAAGCTTGTTGAAGGCAGCTCTGACAGGGGAAAAAAAAAAAAAAAAAAGGAAAGAAGCTCTGGCTGTCAGAAGTCTCGCGATACCCGCCGTGCTCCACCCACCGGCCCTGTGAGCTCTGGGGGATGTTTGTCCGCCATCGCGGAGGAGTTTTAGTCAGTGCCTGAGCAGACAGCCCCCTCCCCGGCCCGGCGCTGCACACACAGCCGGCGGAGCCTGCGGAGGACGCGAGAGGGTGAGCGGTCAGGCGGAGGAGCCCCCCAGCTCGCTGACAGGCCGGGCCCGGGGCCTCCTCACACCGACACCCGCCAGGGAGGAGGAGGGGGGACACAAGGAGGGGCCCCGGGGCCGAGACAGGACGAGCAGCCGCCGACATGTCGAACCTCCACAAAGCCCCCGGGAAGAAGGACACCAAGATGAGGATCCGGGCATTCCCGGTAAGCGGCACAGCCTGGGGGGCAGGGGGGGCCAGGGAGGGCGGGGGCCGCACCGTGAGGCGGGGTAATGGCCAGGGAGGGGGGCTATAGGCTGTGCAAGTGGCCCAGCTCGCCTCATGCCGGGGCATTAAGGCTGTGGGGGGATTCCTAGCGGTGACATGGTGATAGCAGACCGCAGTGGCCATCCTTAAACGCTGCAGCTGTGACCATTGAGCCGGGCATCCTGGGAAATGTAGTTCACAGCTGCTGCAATGACAGGTTATTATCTATATAGCGCCATCACATTCCGCAGCGCTGTACAATGGGTGGACGAACAGACATGTAGTTGTAACCAGACAAGTTGGACACACAGGAACAGAGGGGTTGAGGGCCCTGCTCAATGAGCTTACATGCCAGAGGGAGTGGGGTAAAGTGACACAAAAAGGTAAGGCTAGTATTAGATCAGGGTTAGGCAGCCTTCTGCACTCCAGATGTTGTGGACTACATCTCACATAATGCTCGCACACCCATTATGCCATTAAAAAAGCATCAAGGAAGTTGTAGTCCACCGAATCTGGAGTGCTGAAGGTTTATTACCATGGGTGGCCAACAGATAAATTGCCCAGCATTTATAGAACTACAACTCCCACGATGCTTTGCCAGTCCGTGCTATCCATTGTATACTAGAGCTGTTCCATGTCATGTGTGCATCCCTGTTTATCTTTTCTTTATATCCTGCTCTACTTCCTTGACAATGACTAGACTTGGCTGCAAACTAATAAAAGGAGGCGAATTGTACCCACCCCCTGGTCCTGATGAGGTGAAAGGGTTACTGTCTCCCAGGAATACCACTGACCTTTAACTTTACCTTTTTATTCAGCTTGTAAAGGATATTACAGACTCCGTCTTGACGACTAATAGAAACCAGCACACATTTACAGTATAGAAGTATATCATTTACAGGGTTAAAATTGTTTTTCAGGGAGGTACTGTAATGGAAAACAAATTCAGTCACTATTTTTTTATTTTTTTCCCACCTCACCCAATCATGATTTGAGCAGTGATTTTAAAGCGCTGGTGTCCAACTTTCATATTGTATAATTCTGCTAATCGCACTTGGATCCCTTTAGCTTAGCTTCAGGATCATAATTCTGCTTCCTAAATAAGTGGTAAATAATGCTGGCTTATGGTATACTCGACTAGTTGTTCTAGTTCTGTGTATCTATCATCAACAAAATATTGGGGTGACAGATTAAGGTGGGTGTTCATTGTGCCATTGAAGTCACACCATAGTTGGTCACTAGAAATGTTTTGATAGGTACAGTAATTCACTTTGGTTGTTTTTATTACATTTGCTAGCTGTTTGATTACACTGGATAAAATCAGCAGCTCTATAAAACTGAATTCTGTAATGTCATTCATTACATCATAAGTTTTACAATTCAAGAGCCATGTCTCCTGTGTTAACTTGTGGTTGCAGCTACTCTGTGTTCAACCAAGCATGCCAATTGAGAAGTAGAAATGCAAACATCTGGGCAAGTAACAAAGCGTATCAAACGTATATGGTCACCAGAGGTGTCTGTTTAGCCATAGAACTGAGGTAAATGTTAGCTTTTCTTTCCATAAAATGTTTTAAACAAACTTAATTTGTTTTGTAGTTGGAAGTGTCAAAGGTGGAATGCAAGACCTTTTTATATATATAAAAAAAATATAAAAAAATTAGTCTAAGCTAGCTGTGGATTTTTTGTTTCTCTTAAATAAGTTCTACAGGTGCCAGGAAGAGTATGTGTGTATGTAAAATCTCTGAATGTGTATGATTGTGGGAAATTAATCTTTGTTAGATGCCTTCCTATATCTATTTTTGGTAGTGCCTGAAAACAGCAATATAATTAATGAAAGTGTATCTTTTTTATTTTTTTGCAATATTGAAATCCTACTTCACCTTGGTGTAACTTCCCATTTAGGTGCTTAAAAAAATTAAAGCAGCTGCTAAACATTATAAAAACAAAAAACTGCTTCTTTTATAGGGTCAAAGAAGTTGAAATAAGTCTTTAATTATCAGGAAATGTTTATTGATTTTAAAGGAGATCTCAATCAGGTCTCTTATACTTTTATATTTATCAGGAGAGAATCAGGAACCTCCACTAATTTTCTGAAGTTGTGCTTGGTTCAGCGTGGGTATATATAACATTCCATTCCTGCTTAGTAAGATTTCAGTTCAGTGTTTTTCAGGGCTCTTCAATAAATTGAACTGAGAATGAGTCTTCAATTGTTAGACTAAAATAGTGGAGTTGGAGTTTTATAGTTGGTCTATTTCAGCAATTGAATCTGCAATTTTTAGTACTACATTTTGAAGTTCCTTCTCGAATGCTCGGCAATTCCTGTCTTCGTAAATGTCCCCATGAGTGTTTGAGATGTGTGAATAAGCATCCATTTGATGTTATTTACAAAAATATTCTTCTGGGGTCTTTGTTCAGTTATCCTAGTCTTTAGTGCAACTAGTAAAAAGTATATTGCGTACCTGCAACTCTAAATATAAAGGTTGTTGACGTTACCAAGAAAACGTTTTTTTTTTTTTGTTACTTTGAACATCAAATTGGAGAAGATGGGTAATTTAAGAGACTTTGACCATGATGTGATGGTGGATTCTAGATGTTATAGTCCCGATCCCTATAGGGTCAACTAAGACTTGTTCAGTCATTGATGTTTACAGAGTGGTGTAATAAGAAAGTTTAGAAGAATATAGTTATGCCTACTAACACTTCTGGTTAATGTGCTGTCAAAGTGAGGTGGACAAGCTTTTACAAGCAGACGAGGAAATATTCAAACAACCACTCTTTAAAAAATAAATAAAAATATTTTTTTTTATTTTTTTTTATTCTTTATAGAGTGCAAGAAATAACATAGTGTTCAGTAAGCCACAACAGACTCTGTACACAGAGTGATATCAAGTCATATAAAACAGAGTTATGGCATTCGTATATATCGCACATTTTTTAGATTTTATAGTATGCTTAAATTACAAGCTAACTAGTAAATGGCTGGAGCTACTGTTAAGGGAAAGTGGCTGAGCTTTGCGTATAAATAGGCATGTTGCTAATCATTTTAAAGTAATACAATAAGTAAAGCATGAGGGAATGCATATAGCTAACAGCTAATAAAGACATGCTGTTATTGTGCCACTAGGTCCCAGTCGCAGGCTTCTTAGTTAGAAGTAGCTCTGTTTTGCCCAAAGAACATAATAATAAAACATAAGCAAAGACAGAAGAAAAAGGACACAAGAACAAAAACAAAATACCCCTAGTTGAGAATAAGCTGGGGCGCATATATGGCCTGAGTCCTTGTGGCTGACAGGTAGCATTGTGCTGTTAGTTCAGCCTATGCCCGATAAGTAATGTCCAGACTGCCAAGAATAGTGTGAGCTCCCTTTCGCCGTCTTATATATCTGCCGTCGGTGTTGTCTCGTATATGCGTGCGCTGTGTGGCTGTGGTGTACCTGGTCCGGGCTGTAATCTGGAGCTGTCGTTGGCTGGGTGTGAGACGGGCGGGTTATCTGTCCGGACGGTGTTGGCGGTGTGGTGGGCAGTTGATGTCTGCAGGCTTTCATTCCGGTTGTGGAGCTTTGTTTGTTGTGGGCCGTGATGACCCTGTCAGGTGGAGAGGGGTCCGCACGAGCCTCCCACAGGAGTCTTTGGCGCCTTTGCTTCATTATTGTGTGTTGTCTTGGGGCGGTCCATGTCCCTCCGTCGCTTCCACCACCGGGCCACAGTGCCCTGCACCCGCTCTTTCAGTGGCAACGCTTTGCTTGGAAGCTTTGCATGCTTGCGAGGGGGTGTGTGGCGGCGTGCTGCTGTTGTGGCTGGTTTCTGTACTGGTTGCGAGCTTCTCTCCCGCATTCGTTCCCAGAATCTCAGGCAAACAGCATCGAAGTTAGCATTGAAGGCTGCTGCCCATTCTTCATTAGTCTGCTGCATCAGTTTAGCGGCTGCACCGTCGGCCATCTTAGCTGGGCCTTGTGGGGTCGCCTGAACGACTTTGTGTCGGGATGTGTCCCAGAGGTGGGTGCTCTTAGGGCGCTGGTGGACCGGTGCCCTTCTTCACTAGGGGCTTCTTTTGTGGCAGGGGGAGAGCGGCCGTCTCTCCTGCTCCCGCCTTTCGAGTAGGACTCAGTTACTTGTTCTGCAAATAGTGCTCGGTTCGTCGTTTGATGGGTATCTTTGTGCTCAGATATTTGTCCCCTTTCAGTTGCTGGCTTTGTTGGGCCGATTGGTCGCCGTTTGGGTCGTGTAAAGTGGCTTTTCATGCGGGCTATAGCAGGAGTCCTTGAGGATGTCGACCGCTCGGCTCTGCAGTCAGGCTATAAAATATGTATGTATGTATGTATGTATGTATGTATGTATGTATGTATGTATATATATTAGTAATTTTTTTTATTTTATATATTAAAGGGGCGCCATAGTCACCAGAACTACAGCTTAAGGCAGTGTTTACATTGCCACCTAGGGACACTGGGTCTTCTTGGGGCAGTGCTGCATGGAGACACAGAATTTTCCTCATAGAGCTACATTAATTCACTGCATATCTATGAGGGGATGCTGACTGGCCAACCTATTGTTTGGCCCGGCTTCCTTGTCCATTTCAGCCAATCCTAAGCTTTCACTATGGTAAAGCATTGGATTGGCTGAAAATGGTAAATCCTGATGATGTCAGCAGAGGCTCACTAAACAGCACTTGAGAACTGCCTCTAGGCTGCCACTGATCTATAGAATATTCCGTTAAAGGTCCACTGTAGTGATAAGTATGCTGGCCTGGTTCCCTGGTAATGGGGCAGTCTGTTTAGTAACGATTTTGCCTCTAACCTGGTCCCTGCTGGGCTACAAGGCTCCTTTTTTGTTGGGTGACATGCTTCCGTTCTTGCAGATACCGACCCAGTCGCCATTCATTGGCTGAGTGTTACGTGACTGCTCTCAGCCAATGGCAATAATTTACACTGCACCCAGACCACTTCAATGAGCTGAAGTGGTTTGGGTACCTCCAGGCACCATAACAATTTAATTGGAATTAAGTTGTTGTGGTGCAAAGAGGTCTCTGGCTCATGAAACGGTTCATGAACGATTTAAAGGACCACTATAGTGCCAGGAAAACAAACTAGTTTTCCTGGCACTATAGGGTCTTTAGGCCCCCCCCACTCTCAGGGTCCCACTCCCGCCAGGCTGAAGGGGTTAAACACTTTCCTTTCACCAGCGTCGGGTTCCCTCGGCACTGGGGAACTCTCCTCCCTCAGCCGACAGCGCCGCATGTGCTGTGCGACAAGAGCAGCGTGAGCATTCAAACAGTCCAAAGGAAAGCATTTCTCAATGCTTTCCTATGGACGTCCAGCGTCTTCTCACTGTGATTTTCACGGTGAGAAGCGTGGAAGCGCCTCTAGCGGCTGTCTGCTATGTTTACATCTGAAGTGTTAAAACCTGTGGGACCTGGCACCCAGACCACTTTATTGAGTTGAAGTGGTCTGGGTTCCAATAGTGGTACTTTAACTCCAAAGTCGTCTTTCCAGTCCTCTGCTGCTGTTCTTCAAACTGGATGCTTCAGAGTGCCGCTGACAGGGACATCGCTGATTGACCGAGAGCATCCGCTCATGCTAGGAGTCTAATCCTATCAGCTGCCCATTCACAAAACGGTTTGAAATTTTTTTATTTTTTTTTTCTCCTTCTCAAACTTTTTTTCATAAATAAGACTGTCGTTAAACCACTCATGAATGGTTTAGCTTCTAAAGGTAAGCTGATGCCAGGCACTATAACAACTTAAGCACACGAGGCAATATGAATGAATTATTTTAAAGGGCATTGTGGATTTTTTTGTAAGGAAGAGTGTGTTTCTTTCTAATGAAGTCAGTCACTTATTGGTAAATGGTTAACCAGTCTAGCAATTTATAGTTTGCTTTTGTCCTTGCATGTTTGTGGTCTCTTTTGGTAACCTACTTTTTCAAAGTTCCTTTGCCTGCATTTAGCCTTGCTTCTAAACAGCTTTTTTAAATTGTAGTAATTTTACAATCTTGCTAAATATCTCTTCAATGAGACCTCATCGTGTATTAATGTACTAAATGTAGAACCTGTTAACCCCTTAAGGACACATGACATGTGTGACATGTCATGATTCCCTTTTATTCCAGAAGTTTGGTCCTTAAAGGGTTAAATTCCTGGCATGGCAGGTAGCAGCTGACAATGTTATGTTCTATTAAAGGGACTCTCCAGTGCCAGGAAAACAATCGGTTTTCCTGGCACTGCAGGTTCCCTCCCACCCCATCCCTCGGCGCTGGTTCAAGGTCTGTCCATGCTCCGCCGGCGGTGGGGGAGACCTAGTGTGCCGCGCATGCGCATTAGACCTCCCCATAGGAAAGCATTGAAAGATACTTTCAATGCTTTCCTATGGGGAATTTAGCGAAGCTGGAGGTCCTGACATAGCGTGAGGACGTCCAGTGACGCTATAGCACAGAAAATCTGTGCTATAAACCAGGAAATGCCCTCTAGTGGCTGTCTAGTAGACAGCCACTAGAGGAGGAGTTAACCCTGCAATCTAAATATTGCAGTTTATGAAAACTGCAATATTTACAGTTCCAGGGTTAAGGGTAGTGGGAGTTGGCACCCAGACCACTCCATTGGGCAGAAGTGGTCTGGGTGCCTGGAGTGTCTCTTTAATGTGTAATGTGTTGATATTTACATGGTAAAGAAACAAATTAGAATACTTTCTTCTTGCAACTATGCAGTGGAACTTTGTGTGCACTGCAAATTTGAAATCCAATTGGCACATTTTGTTTACTTTTTCCATAATACTTTAAAAGGTACAATTTACAAAAAATAAAAACAAATCAGTTTTGCTTATTTTGTAGACCACTAAAGTTACTAAATAAACACACCCACACATTTAAAAAAAAAAAAATTAAAATATATAAATCACTTTGGAAATCCCTAAAGTTTGTGTTTGCAATTATTGCACATTGCAGAAAGTGCCTTACTGTAAAAATCATACTTTAGTAGTTTCTCGATTTTTCATGCATTAAGTGAAGCTGGTGAGATAGCGTAGTGAGCTAATGCATCATCAGTTCAACCCTAGGGGTCGCAGGTTCAAATCCCGGTAGATAAAATGATTACCATTAAATTGGGTAATAACATCCCCTGGATGTTGGGCAAAAGTAACATCCCCAGAATTTATTCTTCTTCTTCTTCAGACGTTTTCCAGTTCAGCTATTGTGTCCTTAAAGCGGCACTATCATGCCGAACTTACCTTTCCTTAATCGCTTCCTGTTCTGAGTCTGTTCTTCTTCTTTTCTGATTTAAGTTTTCTTTAAAACATAAGAAAAGTAAAGTCTATGTTGTCTCATGTATTTTACCTACGCTTGGCCAGCTTTGACCTAAAGGAGGAGCTATGTCCCCTCCATTTTTTGTGGACAAAGAAATTTTCCCACAACACTCTCCTCCTGCTGCTTCATTCCGTTCAAACGCTGGCGAAACTCCTGAATGTCGTCCCAACAGAATGAGACTAGTTTGTCCATTCTTGTTGGGAAGCAATTTTATACCTTTTTTTTGTTCGGTTAGCAATTTCATTCAAATGAATTAAATTCCAATCCAATTCGTGCCGCAGCTGTGTCTTGCAGCCGCTTAGTAGATAGCTCCCTAATTCCAACAACATTGAGGAGCCATCTACTTAAAGGCCGAATGACCATGCTCTGGATAGTACGCTGACAGACACAGCAAACCTTCTTGCCACAGCTCACATAGATTTGCCCTCCTGGATGAGCTACACTACCTGAGCCACTTGTGTGGGTTGTAGACTCCGTCTCATGCTACCACTAGAATGAAAGCACTGCCAGCATTCAAAAGTGACCAAAACATCAGCCAGGAAGCATAGGAACTGAGAAGTGGTCTGTGGTCACCACCTGCAGAACCAGTCCTTTATGGAGGGTGTTTTGCTAATTTCCTATAATTTCCACCTGTTGTGAAATTGATTGTCACTCAGTGTTGCTTCCTAAGTGGACAGTTTGATTTCACAGAAATGTGAAGTCCTTGAGAATTCCCATCCAAACCATGGTGTACCTTTTTTTTTTTTTTTTTTTGGTTTCCTGAGCAAGTAACCCGTTTCAATCCTTGGAAAGCGCTAAGCAGGGATCTCTGAGAAACGCTGAACATGTTCTTGTCAGTGTCTTTATTTTTCTACTAGTTGAATATACATCAAAGCTTACCAGGTGCCTAGAGCATACATTTAAGATCTAAACATTAAACTCAAAATATAAAATATTATTTGATTTCACAGTGACCCATTCTTGAATTACAATTGTTTGTAATCCAACAACCAAGACTTAATGTATGAGATAACCAGGGTTGCCCAAAAGTAGGTATACAATATAGTCCCATTCTACGGAACTTGCTGGCGCTATATAAGTTAATAAGTCTATTTAGATTTTAAGAAATCTTTTATCTGGCCTCCACTATTTACAACTGCCACACTGATCTTTAAATGCCTGAAATTTAACACTGCCACTTTTGTGTGTATGAATACAAATATAATCTGTTGATGAATTTCGTTGATTCGACTGATAAATACATTTTTTTTTTTTTTAAATTTAAGTTATTTCTGGACAGAAACCTGATGGCTAAGACTTGTAAAAATATGTTGCTCGCACCAAATGTTTTGTTATTTTTAATTTGTGAAATTTTTTTTACAAATTGTAGCTACAAATATATTGCAGTCGTCCTGCGGTCAGTGCGGCCTTTCCAGACCATGTGCTCACGATATCAGTCTACAGCAATTCCTGCAGGGGGACTGCCTAGGTTGTCGGTCAGTCCCCCAAAGCGGAAGCTAATGTGAAAACAAAGTATTAAAGCATATTATTAATTAATACTTGGATCATATATCTATATTCTAAGTCTGGACTTGACAAATTTGCTTGGAATCTAGGAGCCAGAAGGTTGGCAATCTTTATTTGCTCTTGGTTTTCAGTTTTACTTTCAAGACAGAAGAAGAGTTGGACAAATATAAGGCTGAAACGACTCAAAATAGTTGAGCATTCAAATGAGTGCACATTAGTCATATACTGTTAGCAAAGCATATTATCTAGAAGAAGCAAATGGAACACATTGAATTGGCATGTAAACAGTTATCAAAACCTGCCATCTAGTGTTTCTTGTAACCAACCTTTTTAACCAGAGAAACAGTGTTTTCAAAGTGGGTATAGCAAATGCATAAGGCATTGTAGACTAAGAGAGGGGGAAAAAAAGAGTGTGGGACTTTTCCCACCAACCGACCCAACAGTGACAAGTGACTCTCATATAGGGAAAGGAGTGGTGTCCATAAAGTCTGGGGTAGGAGTTTAATCCCTTGGAATTTAGTAATCGAATAGGTATGCATCTGCATATACGTTGTTATCCCGTTCCGTGAGTCACCCCAGTCTCCCTTTTCCACCTAGCGATGAATTAAGGAAGCACTCTACCACCTCATGTCATCAGCATCCCATTTAGGACAGAGACCTCCCTGGTGATATGTTTACAAGAGGCGCAATTCTCTTTAAACTGTGTTAGATCCCTCTGTAGGAGGGGTCTACCTTTTGATAGAGGCATAGTAGATTTTCAGTTGAAAGTAATCCGTCAAGACCAGTTGGAGCTCCATTATGGTGTAGTTCGGTTAGAGTTTTAAGCTGACCACCAGAGCACTACTGTCGAACATATGTCCAGTCTGAGACCTGGGCAACTCGTATGTTTGCCAGATCCAGCCCCCTCTCCCACTCACCAAATCAGGGTTGTTTGTTATGGGTGTCAAAGGGTTAGGGTTGGTAATTAGATGTAACAGGAAACACTGGGAGCACCAGACCCTGAGGGTGGTGTCTATCGATGGGTTACCAGTGCACAGTGTACTGAGTGTGGATCCACCATACCAGAGCAGAGATATGGGACCTTTCCACCTGCCTGCTTCAGCTCTAGACTCACCCACCGCTTTTGAGGGGAGCAGACATGCCATTCAGCAACTTCGAGTAAGAAAGCTGCTTAATAAGTGAGCATGGCTGGGAGACCTCCCAAACCATACCGCTACTTGCTTTTTCACGAATTGATTGATTGCGGTATTTAGCGATTGGGGAAAAAACTGCATAGGAATCACCATTGTGATAGTGTCTAACAATTACAGGAGACACTGTAAGATTTATTATTAATAATAATAATAATATTATTATTATTATTATTATTATTATTTTATATTATATATAATTTTTTTTATTTTAATTTTTTTACTGAGTTGATGCAGCCGAAACCAGGAGATCTGATCAGACCATCACAGCGGGTCTGCTTGTATCGCCTGAAGGGTAGGGAGAAATTTTTGATTTTAATTATTTATATTTAATTTATGTTTCATAAATGTTTGATGTAAAATGAAAGTCCTATTGCCAGTGAACATAATGATATACAATAAGTGTGGGTGCACTTAAAGGACCACTCTAGGCACCCAGACCACTTCAGCTTAATGAAGTGGTCTGGGTGCCAGGTCCCGCAAGGGTTAACCCATTTTTTTTTTTTTTTAATAAACATAGCAGTTTCAGAGAAACTGCTATGTTTATAAATGGGTTAATCCAGCCCTCAAAGCCTCTAGTGGCTGTCTCATTGACAGCTGCTAGAGGCGCTTGCGTGATTCTCACTGTGAAAATCAGTGAGAGCACACAAGCGTCCATAGGAAAGCATTGTAAATGCTTTCCTATGAGACCGGCTGAATGCGCGCGCAGCTCTTGCCGCGTGTGCGCATTTAGCCGAATGGGAGGAGAGGAGGAGAAGGCGGCGGCGGATCGGAGGATGGGAGGAGGAGAGCTCCCTGCCCAGCGCTTGAGAAAGGTAAGTTTTAACCCCTTTCCTCTCCCCAGAGCCAGGTGGGAGGGGGACCCTGAGGGTGGGGGCACCCTCAGGGCACTATAGTGCCAGGAAAAAGAGTGTGTTTTCCTGGCACTATAGTGGTCCTTTAATACAAAAGAGGTAAATTATGGTTGAACACTGTTCCTAAAGCAAAATAAACACTGGGTTCACACCTGCCTTTATTTTTATTCGGTTATAATTTAGTTGTAAATTATCATAATAAATTTTAATTAAACTAACCTGTGTTAAGGGGATTTTCCATTGAGGTATTCCAATTAGAAGTTGGTAAACTGTATGCCCTTACCTTGCATTTATTTTTTTAGATTTACTTTTTTTTTTTGACAATTTTTATTGAGTTTTTGTTGTCAAGGGATACAGAAGATAAAAAAGGGGGGCAGGGGGAAAGTTCACATTGGTGTACAATAATATCAACACATTTGACATTCCCTGACATTTACACTGAGATATATATATATATATATATATATATATATATATATATATATATATATATATATATATATATATATATATATATATATATATATATATATATACATATACATATACATACATATATATACACAGACAAAACCAAGAGGGCTGCACTCACCTAAACATGCATACATTATAGGGTGCTGCTGGGGCCAAAATATACAAAATACAGAATCCAGCGCACTCGCTTATTCACTAAACAATGCTTTCAAAATTTTAGAGATTGTAATAGTTTTATTTAAAAAACACCTCACCTAGGCAAAAAATAATGGGGGTTTAGTTACATTATATGATCATATATTGCATAAGCCTGCCACAACGTCAATGTACCCCATTAGCCTTGACTTGCAGAGAGTCCCAGTAAGGAAGTATTTCCCAAGTAAGTGGATCAATCTCATAAGGGCAAGCATTAGGCTGCTAGAGTAGGACCTGCCAAGAATGGGGTACATTGACGTTGTGGCAGGCTTATGCAATATATGATCATATAATGTAACTAAACCCCATTATTATTTTTGCCTAGGTGAGGTGTTTTTAAAATAAAACTATTACAATCTCTAAAATTTTGAAAGCATTGTTTAGTGAATAAGCGAGTGCGCTGGATTCTGTATTTTTTATATATACATATATATATACCATACCACTTATATACTCCATATATATATATATATATATATAAAAATTTTGTTCTTTGGCCCTTGTCCCTTGGGGACTTCGATCCCGCTTGCAATCAGGAGGGAAGGGTGCAGGAGGGGGGAAGGACAAAGGGACCTGTGTAAGGGACTCGGAAAAGCCTTTGGCAAGCGACATTCCATGCCATGGTTCTTGCCATCTTGTGACAACCAATGCTTATTCCTCCCACCACCCCAGCCGTGACAAGGCCCTCCCATTCTTTGGCCTATCTTCGCCTTGTTGTCTGTTTCCCTTGTTGCTACTCCGTATGGGCTCTTTTGGGTCTGTACGTGATGTCTGTTACAGGCCTGTATAGCGCCCCTTGTAGTCAACTGTAAACTGGTACCAACTATAACTATATACATGTGGGTTTCTATTTGCACCGTTCCATGTGGCTTGGCCCCTGTTAGAGCCTATTTTGTTCTACGACCTACTGGGTTGTCCCTCTCCGAGAACTTTTTTTTTTTTTCTCTCTCTTTCTTTTCCTCCCTCTCTATGTGATTTGCTCCCCTTCCTTTTCCATGCGCATTGTCCAGTTCGCGTATGCCAGATTAGCATATTTGTTTGTAGGGTTTTGTCTGTTCAGTCCCCGTTCATAGAGCAGATTAGTGGTTATCTGCCTGATTAGAGCCTCCCTAGTGGGTGCTTGAGTCTGTTTCCATGCCCTGGCTATTAATGTGTTTGCTGCAATTAAGATGTGAAATAGAATGCGGGAATCTGTTTTGTTAAGCGTGTCTAGTCCCATGAGCAGAAGTCCGCTCTCTGGTGTTATGGTGTCCAGCGCTAGATTTGTGATTGTCTCCACTTCCTCCCAGTATTTGGTTATAATGGGGCATTCCCACCATACATGGTACATCGTACCCTTGCTTTCCTGACATCTCCAACAAGCCCTTTAGGCATTTGGATAAATTTGTGCCAATCTCTCCTGCACCATGTACCAGCGATATTGGATTTTGCGCATCTGCTCTAAGTGAGCTGCGCAGTTCGTTCTTTTTTTTGTGTGCTAAGAATGCCTTCCCCCATTGGTGGTCGGTGAAGGTCGTTCCTATGTCTCTCTGCCACGCTGCCTTAATCCCCTCTAAGGGGTCATCTTGTGTTTGGATCAACATGATATAGAGGGTAGAGAGTAGCCTCCTGGGCTGTTTGGTATCTGTGCACAGTTGTTCAATATGTTTTGCAATGGGCGGTACCGTGCTAGTTATGGATCCTTGAAGCATGGATTTCAGTTGGAGATATTGGAAAATGGTGTTGTGTGGTAGGTTGTATTTGCATTGTATGTCCGGAAAGTCTAACAATCTGCCGCTGTCGTATAGGTTGCCCACCCTGGTGCAGTCCTGTCTTATCCAAGGGCGGTAATCGAACGCCTTGTTTGCTAGGTGTAAGCAGTATAGGGGGGCTGCCAGCGCCCACCCCTCGTGTCGTGGGCGGCACTACCTGGTGTACCTCTCTCTGTTCTCGGGGTACCCAGAACAGATAGCTCAGGCCCCGAGGGCAAGCCCAATAGGTCTCCATTTCCACCCACTGCGGCGTGTCCTCTTTGGCGTGTGTTTGTATGACAGTAGCTAGGATAGCCGCTCTGTAATATTGCTTAACGTCTGACATTTCCAACCCCCCGTTCGCTTGTGGTCTGCACAGCACTTTAGCTGCCACCCTTACTTTGCGGCGTGCCCAAATGAAACCTGTGAAAAGCTTTTGGAGTTTTCCTAGGTAGGTTTTGGGTATGTGTATTTGTAAGGTTCTTATTAAGTATTGGAATTTTGGTAACAGTATCATCTTTACCGCGGCCATCCTACCCAGCCACGACAGGAACTTCCTCTCCCATTCTTTCAGTGTGTTTGCTATACCGCTCAGTAGTGGGTCATAATTTGCCATAAGCAAGTCTGTCGGATTTTTTGTGAGTTTAATCCCGAGAAATGTGATGTGGTCCCGTCTCCAGTCCAGTGAAAATGAGTTTTGTAGAAGGTCCATTATATCTGCCGGGATTCCCACCCCCATGGCTTGTGTTTTTGTAACACTGAGCTTATAGTATGAATGTTGCCCATATGTGGTGATCTTTCAGTAGGTTGGGGAGGGAAATCTGCGGCTGAGTAAGTGTCAGTAGGACGTCATCCGCAAATAGGCTGGTTGTATATTCGCGTGTATTGATCGTGACTCCGTGTATGTTTGGGTTGTCCCTTATTTTCATCGCTAAAGGTTCTAGGGCCAGGACATACAACAGTGGCGATAAGGGGCATCCCTGTCTGGTACCGATTGATAACTTTATTGGTTCAGAGAGGAACCCTGAGTTTAGCACCTGAGCCCGTGGGGAGCTATACAGGGCTTCCACTACAGCTATGAACCCTTCTGGTATATCAAATTTTTGCAGTACTGCACGCAGGAATCCCCAATGTAGGCGATCGAAGGCCTTTTCTGCATCTAAGGAGACCAACAGTCCCCCTTGTGTCTTTCTGCGGAGATGGTGTACTATGTTTAGCACTTTCCTCGTGTTATCTGATCCTTGCCTCCCTTTAACAAATCCTACCTGATCATTCTGGATAATGTTCGGCAAGATTGCTCCTAAGCGGAGTGAGTAAGTTTTGGCCAGGATTTTCGCGTCCTTTTATCTTTTGCGCTGCCTGTTTCTCCCGAAGCCTTTTCGCTAGTAATTTACTTGCCTTGTTACCTTGGGCGTATTGATCGATTTTCAATCGTTTGAGGTTGTGCTCCGTTTGTGCCAAGACCTGCGTGTGCAGACTCCTGGTGAGTTGGAGTATGCGTCTGCGTTTGTCGTCTGTGGGGGAGAGTTGGTTTTGTAGAGTTATGTCATGTAATTCTTTTTGTAGCTCCAGTGTTTGTTTTTGGGCATTCTTTTTGAGGTATGAGGCCCTTCTAATCAACAGTCCTCTCGCCACCGACTTGTGGGCCATCCAGACCGTGGTGGATGAGACGTCTGGTGTCTCATTTTCTACAAAGTAATGCTGCCGTTGTGTAGATAGGTCGGCCTCGAATTGTGGGTCATGGAGGAGAGAATCGTTGATTCTCTAAGGGCTCCGATGTTTAAAATCATAGAGGTCTTTCATCTCCAGGAGCACTGGAGCATGATCTGACCATGTGATTTGTGCTATAGTACATGCTAGGATTTGGTAGATGTGGGAGCCTTGGAGGAGATACCCATCTATTCTAGAGTAGGAGTTGTGAACATGTGAGAAATACGTGAATGCTTTTTCCGTGGGGTGCGTGATTCTCCATGTGTCGTAAAAATGGTACTTATGTATTAGGGTCTGGAGGGCTTTGCTTTGTCGTCTAAGGGTTTGGTATCTACTACTAGCACTTTTGAGGGTTGTGTCTATGGTCGTGTCGAAGATGTGGTTGAAATCGCCACAGATTAGTGTTATGCCTTGTTGTATTGGTGTCAGGATTGTAAGTATCTTGTGTAGGAAGTTTCTTTGATTTTGGTTGGGCGCATATATGTTTGCAATTGTGTACGTCATGTCATTTATCGTTCCCACTATCACCACATATCTGCCCATTGGGTCTAGGTGTTGGGATTTTAGAGAGAATGAGACATTTTTGCTGAGCAGAATAGATGTTCCTTTTGCTTTAGTTGGGGAAGTAGAGTGGAATTGGTGTGGATAGTCTACCTCCATAATTTTTGCGTGGTCGTTTGTACGGAAATGTCTCCTGTAGGCAGACCACTTCTACTTGGTGTTTCCTAAGTTCTCGGTTTAATAAGTGTCTTTTTGCTGGGATATTCAATCCCCTTACATTGTGTGTATATCCTCATATAGGGTCTAACATAAAGGGTTGTGCTGTGTATTGAGAGTGTTCTTTTGTTGCGGGGTGCCTCTCTCCTCCCAGCGCCATCCAGCAGAGCAGACCTTCCCATGGGGACTGTGACAACCTCTCACAGGTATTCCGGTGAGAGTTGGGTCGTATTCCTTCACTTCCTGTATAGAAGGTGTGTGTTTTGTGCTTATAAAAGGTGGAACCCCCCCACTTAGTCCCAAACATGCTCGCCATTGGTAGGGGCCACAGACCATCTCTCAATGGGTGGAATAACGTAGTAACTAAACCAAACAAAAAAGTATATACAAGATTTAACCATGCCCTGTCCGTGGCGAGGCACTTCATCTAAGTGCCACGGGGGTAGAAGCCTCTAGCTTCTGTTCCTTGGGGGGAGATACGCTGCGCGCCAGCCTTTCTTGCTATGGCTTAATTGCATATGGTGTCTCCCATTTACCCTTTTTATTATTGTTAATTATTGTTGTATGTATATTTTATTTTTATTTATTTTTTTATTATTATTCTTTTTGTTTTGTTTTATGCCGTTGTGTTGTAACCTATGCGATTTGTCTTTTACACCTCCCAGGGGTCTCAATCCTCTCCGCTATTTACTCGCTTATCCCTTTTTTTTTTTCTTCCCCTTTTTTGCTTTTATACTGTTGTGTTGTATCCTATGCGATTAGTCTTTTACCCCTCCCAGGGATCTCAATCCTCTCCGCTATGAACTCGCTTATCCCTTTTTTTTTTCTTCTAAATATATATCTCCTTGTGCCCTGCTTTACTATTTCCACCTCCTCTGTTACATTTCGCACATGGAGTACCCCTGGACCTATACAATCCCTCAATTGTTGGCTCTGACATATGACATAAACATTTCACTTGAGTTTTATACTTGCGGCACCACATCGTCCGTGACTTTTGGCCCACCCGGGCGTCACGCGTTACAGTCTATGTGTGTTTCGCTTTTTTCCACTCTGGAGTTAATCTTCTTGGCTCTGTAGATAGGTTCTTCTGGGATTCTCTTCTTAAGCCCCATTCTCGCAGTATGTCAGCTCCCTCTTCTGGGCTTGATATTACAGCTGTCTTGCCTGCCCTCTGCACCAGCAGTTTAACTGGATATCCCCAGCGATATGCGATTCGGTTCTCTCTGAATGCCGCTGTGATGTCTCGGAACTCCCTACGTTTTTGGAGGGTGAACGCTGAGACGTCTGCGAAAAGCATAATGCCCCGGTATTTTTCAGGAAGCTCTTTGCGGGTTCTACTGCTTTTTAGAATGGCGTCTTTAATGTGATGGTAGTGCATACGCACCAGAATGTCTCTGGGGGCATCTTGGGGCAGGAACTTGGGTCTCGCCGTCCTGTGGATGCGGTCAAAGAGGAGCATGTTTTGTGGGATATCTGGCACTAGTGACTTTAGGTAGGCTGTGACATGTGCTGTCAGGTCATTTATGCCCACAGTCTCTGCCACCCCCCTCAGCCATAAATTGTTTCGCCGGCTCCATGTCGGCTATTTTTACCTCCTGCGCCGCCAAGCGCTCTGACACCTGCAACAGCCTGTCTGCAAGGTCGTTATGCGCTTCCTCAGCGTCCGCCATCTTTTCTTCCAGTTTTGAGGTTCTGGAACCGAGGTCTCCCAGGTCTTTGCACAGCTCTCCTATGGATGCCTGCACACTCTTCATTATTTTTGCGGACATTTCGTCCAACATGTTCTGCATTATTTGCTGGGTCAGGAGCCCCTGAACATTAGGCGCACAGTGAGCTGCCTCGTTGCTGTCTTCGGTGCCGGCGCCATCTTGGATTCCCGCCGTCTGCAGTGAGTCCCGTTGTGCGCCCTGCTTTGGGGCAAAGAACTGTCTTGTCCGCCTTCTCCGTTTGCCGCTTCGTTTTTGGGTGAGACATTGGAGTTTTTAAGTCTGTTGTGCCGTAGTATTGTGTGGCAATTGCTCAGGTTAGGCTGTGGGACGCGGAGCTGTGTTTACATGCGACTTCTCCCGCCGGTGTCCAGGCCACGCCCCTAGATTTACTTTTTAAAGTGGACCTAACATTCAAAAATGTGGAAGCCATTGGCCTTATAATTTAAAGGTGTTTTTATTTATTTATTTTAATCCATATATTATACTTATGGAATTTGCAGCAAATATATTTAAAGGAACACTGTAGCGTTGGCAATACAAACCTGTATTTCTAACGCTACAGTGCCATAGTTCCTATTTAGATTAATGCCTTCTAATCCTTTTTACAAAGTTGAAATTATTACAAGAACAAAAATAATTTTTTTTTTTTTTTTTTCTTTGCTCTGAGACACTTCGTGCTGCTGCTCTGCTTTACACTGTCATTGTGAAGGTGTTGTTTCCACGATTTATGTCCTAGCCAATCCTCGTCATAAAGGAGCATTCGGAATGAGGTGCTTGTGTGCGGTGGGTGCCCTGCTATTAATTGAATCCTTATGACATTTCCTATGAACAACATTTGGTCACATGAGTGTCTAACTAGGTCAGGGGTTACCAATACATTTTTCACATGGAACTTTGACATAGTGTACCAACATCGTGGAACCCCAGAAAAAAAAAAATCTAGCGCCGTATAACAAACCTTTTTTTTAAATTAACAGAGCGTAATGTTTTATATATTTGTCAAATTTCTACGGACAGTAAACGGTTTGTAGTACTTAGGAGCAGATGTGCTTCTGTGTGAGTTGGTGTTTTGTATATCATTTTAGCATTTTAATACACGGGTGAGTTTATATGTTATGCTTACAATTACATGCAGTGGTGCGTTTGGATGTAGTGTTGGATTTTAATGCGGATGTACATTTGTGTGCAGTATTGGTGTTTTGAGTGTTAGTATATAATTTTAGAGTTGGAGTTCAGGGGGTGTCTTTGTATGTCATGTTTGTGTTTGCATGTTGTATTGGTGTTTGATTGCTGGGATGTATATACACACACTGACACTCACACACTGACACTCACACACTGATACTATCTCTCTCTCTCTCTCATATACACTGACATACACGAACAGCTACACACACTGACACATACACTCACACTGACAGATTGACACAGATACACACACTGATTGATACACTGACCTATACACATGTCACAATATTTATATTTGCAGTCACCCTTAAATTACCTTTCATCTGCAGGAGCGTAATTTGTTTGGAGTGCTGCTGTTGGAGCACTGGGTGTTGGAGTGTTGCTGGCTACTGCTCTCTCCCTTCTCCTGCCTTCTCTCTGTCCTTTTTGGCGCGTTCTAAGTCTGGGAGCAAGTGACACGCTGTCAGCTCCTCCCAGCATCCAATAATACAGGGGCAATACCGATCAGGTGGACCTAAGTTAATGGGCCACCCGATCGGCAAATTGCCGCAGAACCCCAGTTTTGTTCTCAAGGAACACCAATTTGGAAACGCTGCACTAGGGTATTATTGCAGAAGTACCTCCAGTGGCTGTCTGAAGTATGTATCCCTGCAGTATAAACATGGCAGTTTCTACAAAACTACTGAGCCACTGCACCCAGATCACTTAAGCACTATTTAAAGGAGCACTTTATTTCAATTTACGTTTTTAGCAGCCTCTGCTGTAGGCTGCTTGAAAACAGTATCTTGCTTATTAATCCCAACTGCTGAATACAATGTGTGGGGTTTTGTTTGTGTGTGTGTGTGTGTGTGTGTGTGTGTGTGTGTGTGTGTTTTTTTTAATTCCCCCCCCTCTCCTCATTTCTGTTTGTTTTATTATATTAGATTCCCCTGGCACAATTTCGACTACAGGTAAAGAGTATTGCGATACACCTACAGAAAGCCATCCCTCTGTGCTGTTATCTTCAAATTTTAGTTGCAGCTACTAGGATAAGGCCAGGGATTTATTAAAAGTAGTTAGAAAATTGGGCAGACTAGATGCCGTCACATTCTATGTTTCTATGAAGTGTTTTAATACAATACCACCTGTTGATCAGCCATGCCAGATTCCATGGCATCTTCACATTTTTATTAATTTAAAACATTAAAAAGAAAATGTTATGTTAAAAGAACACTGGTGTTAGGAATACAAAGCTGTATCCCTAACACTATAGTGTCCCACTGCCCAGCAGGACACCCCACACCCCCTCTCCCCACCCCTTCCTTTAAACCCTTATCTGATTTCTGCATCAATATCCTTTGTGCTGGTTTGGACGCCTCCTCCACTGATGTCAGACGATGGGAGCAGCCTAAAGCTCAGAAAGCACCTTGTGCTCCTTAGGCCTCGCCCGTTTGCACAGAATGAGGAAGTCGGCGTCATTTCACGCAGTCAAAATCTGTGAAACTGCAGGAAGTCTTAACCCTGCAATATAAACATTAGTTTCTCTAAAACTTGTTTGACCCTATACATAACCCTCTTCAATGAGATGAACTAGCCTGGGTGCCTATCGTGTCCCTTTAATCTTTACAACTTGTCCAGACCCTGGTGCTTAAGCCTTTTATCCATTTGGGAAATTAACCAACACTAGTTTCTCAGAGGAAAAACTCCTAAAAAATATTTAATCCCTGTTAGCTCAACACTTAATATGTTTAGTTACCTTTTATTGACCCATGGAACAATATATAATAAACCTTTTTTATTGTCTACCAAGATTGAAGAGTGATCACATTTTTTTTGTATTTTTTATTTTCTCATCAAACTTGAATTGTGTAACCAATAAATGTCTGTGAATGATTTTTTACATACTATTTTTTTTAATTTTTTTTTTGCCTTTACAAATTGCTTGTACTTGGATCAGTTACTTAAAGGAACATTATAGGGTCAGGAACACAAACATGTATTCTGACCCAATAGTGTTAAAACCACCATTTAGTTGGGTTGATCCCCCTTTACCCCTTTAGGAAGGGTTAAAACGTACACTTTTTCCAGCACCACAGAGGTCTGCCAGCCCTGGCCCCGCCTCCGATTTTACCTCTTTGGCTGACATCAGAATGAATGATCTTAGCCAATGCTTTCCCATAGGCAAGGAGTTTGGACAGGGCCAAACACCAGGTAGGGCAGTCAGCATCTTCTCATAGAGATGCATTGAATCAATGCATCTCTGAGGAAAGTTCAGATGAGTGGCCAATGGAGGTGTCCTTGGGCAGTAATGTAAACACTGCCTTTTCTCTGAAAATAGTGTTTACATAAAATTCCTGCAGGGACTGACTACACTCACGAGAACAACTACAATGAGCCGTAGTTGTTCTGGTGACTGAAGCGTTCCTTTAAAAACCTGTTCTTTTGCGAATTTCATTCAGCAGTGAGTTTGGGATACGAGATGATTTTATTTATCAAGCTTTAACAAATTCCACAGCACTGTATAATGGGTAAATGAAACTCTACAAACTTATCGTATTTATTCATACATGAACAAGTATTTCTTGTCATAAATTATATTTGTAGTTGGGGACATAAGCCATAATAATGAGCAAGTAGTAGTAAGCAAAGATGGCCTTCCCATTCCAATGGACAGAAATCTGAGCTATATGCTCATATCTGCCTTGGCATGTGTATCTAGGGATTTTTTATTTTCCCTTGTCCATAAGAGGAAGAAGGCACAGCGGTCTGGAAATAAAAGCTCTACCCTGTGGAATAATTCTCATCTCAAAGGTCAGCAGGCCTGGTAAGGATTGTAGTTCCACCCTAGTACAAGTGCCCCTAGCGAGGAAAAATTCCATAGACTCTCAGATATGCTGTACCTTCTCCATGGTAACTGGCTTGTAACAAGACTGTGTTTATTTGAATACCCAGGAAAATTAGGTTTGTGGAATGGCCTACTGTTTTGTCCTGAGAGTGGAACACTTATCGCTGAACATACACCCGTTGTCTTGTGAATGTAGAAAGGTGTGGACTGATGTTTTTCTATTGTGATAGTCATGTGGTAATGTAAGACTGATGGACATTTGCAATGGAGTAACCAACGTGACATGTAGGCAAACACGTTGAATAATTTTAGACTACTCTCAGCTCCAACGTGTGGCAAAGGAATACCTGTTCCTCCATAGCATGCCATGCACGTGCCACAGGGATGGATGTATAGGTAAAAGTTTGAAGGCGTTGGAAAATGTCAGTTTTCCACGACCAGGCTCAGACTGCCTTCAGTATGGCATGAATGGCATCATCCACTGTGACCTATTGCAAGGAACATTCATCAGAGAGCATTAATGAGTTGATGCTCAGAGTAGACAATGAATGTGGAGCCGATAGATAATTAGCCTCTTATTATTAACCTTTCCCGTGGCTAAATCTATGTGATTGGTACGCCAGCATGAAAAAAGAGGGGTTGTGAGAAAGGGCCTATGATGAACCCATTATCAAACTCCTTTGTGAGTAATGCATCTGTGCTGATGGGGTCAAGTAGGGCAGACTGTTAGTTTGGACACTCGTGAATACCAGTGGGGAGTGTTACAAGGCCAGTTTGGAAAGTCAGTGAAACCTTTAACCAGGAAGTCAACTAAGGGGGGGGTGTCCTGGAGGTAATATGCCAGGTTGTCAATGCAAACTTCGGTTTATTGTTTTGGGTACCGACAGGGACGTAACTTACACGAGGCAAACCAGGCATCTGCCTTGTACAAATGCTCAGGCAGATCCCTTGCTTGCCTCGTGTCCTGGGGGCTCGAGCTGGCCGGCTGGCCACTTTTGAGCCCCCCCCCCAGGCTGGCGGCGGGCAGCGTGGGAGCATGCTCACCTGAGCTCTTCCTGCTCAGCTCCCTCCGCGCCGCTTAATAAAGCCGGGAGCCGGAATATGAAGTCAGACCGGCTCCCGGCATCACTAAGCGGCGCCCGATGGAGCTGAGCAGGAAAATCAGAGCTCCTCGCCGCCTACTCTGCGTGTCTGTGCAGCAGCCCCACTGGACAGGTAAGTAATCCACTCCAGTTCTTCCAGGGAGGCTTGGTGGATTTAAAATAGCACAGCACAAATCCCAAATACACCACTGGGTACAGACGATTAGTACACATGGTTTTGGTGTGTGCCCTATAACAAATGGAGCAGATGTGCAGCAAGCTGCACAAGCTAAATCCACAACTGCCTGAAATAAAATTGTTGCAGACTTGATCCTTGCCCAGGTACACTATAAATCTACCCAATTTGTCTTTAAAGCCTCTGTATTCCGCAGTGGAATAACCGGAGGACTATCACTACATATGGTCCAGTTTGCCTAGCTAGGCCATGGTATATGAGAAAGCAGTGAGGGGAAATTAAGGTTCCCTGGGAGTGAGGCTTGTAGGGGAGTTGCGTTACTAGCGAAGTTATGTGGTAGCATGTTTGACCCAGCGATGATGACTGACGAGGAGACTACTGTTACTATGTTATGATGGACAGGCCGGATGAACATACTAGTGGGAGTATAATGTAACTGCAAAATATATGAATACATCAGAAAATGTATTGTATTATATTTGGGTGCAGAGGTTTTAGGAGTTTGATATGGAATGGATCTGCATGCTTAATTGTGTGCAAGGAACTTGTCTGTATGTACCCTGAGTATGGGGAGAACGATATGACATTTTAGTTAAGCAAATTGCCAGTACAGTGAGGGGGAACAATACGGGCTGTAATTTGACCCAACGTGAAAACTGCACATATAAAATTCTTATCATATACTTATGAGCTGCCGGCCTAGAGGAGTACACTATGTCCCCTAGCGGTCATATTCATGATGAGACTATTATACAGTACTCTAATTGAGGTCATGTGGGTGACATTGGTCTACACACTGGGATGAAGTTCAGTCTATTATTCTGAACTTCCTACTAAACTCTTCCTCTTGCATATGTATATGGCCCTGTTGCATATGTAGTAGTCAAGAGTCTTTCTAAAGCAAGATCCAGTGCTGATATGGAGGAATTGTATAGCACTTGCTGTTGCCGAGTGACAGATCTTTAAACCGGTATATGTTTCTGCTGCTATATGCATTTTAACCATACATGAAACTGGTACCTGAATATTTTTTTATTTTTCTAGAGATACAGGAGGAAGAGGAAGAAACAATTCTTAGTGCAAGGTCCCATCTCTGGGTTGCCATGGTGGCATTATTTCATACTCTTCCATTATTGACATTCAGGGTTGTGGGGAGAGATGGGGGTCTCTTGCTTTCCAACCCACTCCCTTCAGATTACAAACAGGCATTAAAGGACTGAAATAATATCCTCATTAAATAGCCCACTTTTACTGAGCGTTCAGGCATAATATGCCAAGAGAGGCTGTGGAGAAAGACACAAACATTTCCACCTCTCTTGACAGTCCGTCTGTCATGACAATCCGTTGCTAAAGAGAGAATGAATTAATGGTGGCAAATTGCTGCAACTACAGTGCAGCGAGATAAAAAACATTCTCAGGCTGTCAGGGGGGATTTACATATGTGTTCCTTGCTGAATTCTATCCAGTGCTATGGATCAATTAGCTAAGAACGGTTAGGCCAGTCGTTGAAATCCTGTTGAGGAGGGGGGGGATCTCTGGGTGCCAGGGAAAGACATATATTTTTGTCTGTTCCTGCTCTTCAAACCACTCCCATGATTTTAATGAATGTATTGCCCATTTAAGTGATTTTGTTATAGTCTGCTGTACAGTTGTTTGACATTATACTGTAACATGGCCTTTTCCATGATATGGTAGTTTTGCCAAGCACAAATTTGCAAAGCTCCTTTTAAAATCCTCTTTTAATTCTCCCCTGTAGTGATGAATGACAACTTCTTGTTCTGATGCATCTACCTCTGTTTTATCCTCACTCTTTCTTGCGTTTCAAGTTTTACCTCCAGATGATATACAGATTCTTTATTTGGCCGTCTATTTAAATAAAGAGAAATGTTGGGCCATTTTTAAAATTCTTTATTTTTGTAGTTCAAATAGAAACATACAGGCTCATCATGCCCCAACAGTGAATGACGAGCTATATGGTACATAAAGCTAAAATATTGTAGGCAGGAGTGTACTTGCACATTTTTATAATATATTTCTAGAATGCTAGTCTGGCTGTCTAGAAAGCTTCTTCACTATTGACATCAAGCGTAATAACACCATCAAGATGGTTTGTGGGCTCAATAGGTTAGGCTAGGCTTGCGTGTCACAGTAAAAAAAAAAAAAAAAAAAGTATTCGCTCAGATTCTTTGATTGCTTTCTAGAAATATATGAAATAAAGTAAAAGGGATATAATGTAACAACTTAGTGTAGCTTTAGTGCCAGGAGAAAACTGGATGTAGCTTGTGTGCATCCTGTCAAACTGTTCTGACTGTGTTAGGAATTAGTAGGAGAGGAGACCTGAATCCCTGCTATACACTAACTGGATGCTGTTTAAAGGCAAGCAGTCTGTGCTGTTAAAGGACCACTATAGTGCCAGGAAAACATACTTGTTTTCCTGGCACTATAGTGCCCTGAGGGTGCTCCCGCCGGGCTCTAGGGTGAGGAAGGGGTTAAACTTACCTCTTTCCCCAGCGCCGGGCGGGGAGCTCGCCTCATTCTCCTCTCAGCCGCCTCTCCTCCTCCTTGGCTGGCTGCGCGCGCATTCAGCCAGTCTCCTAGGAAAGCATTATCAATGCTTTCCTATTAACGCTGGTGTCACAGTGAGAAGCACGCAAGCACCTCTAGCGGCTGTCAATGAGACAGCCACTAGAGGCTGGATTAACCCTAATATAAACATAGCAGTTTCTCTGAAACTGCTATGTCTATAGAAAAAAGGGTTAACCCTAGCTGGACCTGGCACCCAGACCACTTCATTAAGTCCTTTAATAGTACTCAATTTAACCAATGCCACAGGTAGACCATGGAACAGAATTCACCTCTACGTAAGGCAAGACTGCAATAGGCTCTGTCATACCGCCTGTACATGCAGTCGTTCAGTGTGCGTTTGGTCAGTGGTGTTGCTGCTGTACTGTGCTTCTACACCTCTTTTAGCTCAGACCGAAGCTCGTAGCTGCAGGTTTCCAGGTACCTGGGGTAGAGAGCGCCAAGGGCGAACAGATCGCGCTGGATGTGCAGAGGTTCCCATCCCTGACGTCTGGTCAGTCACTGATGAGTATGTGGCTTGGTGCTTTGGCAGGCAGTTATATGCCCCCTAGTCATAGCCTTTTCCTCCCGGGTGTGTGAGCTTTGTCTAGAGATTCGTCCCCTGATGGACTGAGTGTAGGCTCGTTGCTGATCTGCGTCGTCTTTGTTGAGGCCCTCTCTGCCTCTTTCTCCGCCTCTTCAATTTTAACATTGCGTTAGTGTGGACAAAGATCTGCCCCGCTCGGGAACTCTTCCAAGAAGCGCTTGCTGAGGACCATCAGTCCCTGCTGATTCTTCTGCCCTTCGATGCACCTTGGCCCAGAATTGCTCCCAGAACTGCTCAAATGCCCATTCTGTTTGTTCCTCATGGAGGGCCTGAGTTGCAAATCTGCTTCGGTGGCTATCTTGGAATGCAGGCCTTAAGTGCTCAGTGTGCTCAGCTTGGATCCGCTGTTCAACCTTAACTATGTGACTCTTAGCTAGGAGCAGGTTAACTTCCCAGTGGGGACTGGGTTGGTCCCTGCCGGTTCAAAAGGAGGGGGGACAGGGCTCAGAAATTAGTTGATCTGTAAGAGTTGGAGGCATGGCCGTCCCCTCTGGCTCACATGCAGTGGTAGCGGCTGTACCAAGCTAGGCCTCCCAAACTTGGTCAGTCCGTAATACTGGCTTATGGAAGTTCAAAAAGCACATTTCCTGCTGATGAATTGGGTAAGGGACTCTTGAAACTGCCCTAAATTGGGATCCTATTGAGGAGCCCCTGTTGCATGTGGCTGCCTCGGTCGGCTGTCAGGCCCTGGCCCCCAATGTTGGGCTTTCTTTATTTTTTTTATTTTTTAAGTGCTTATGTAAAAATATGTAAGTTTTAGCAATTCACATTTGTGTAGACAATATTGGCTACTGCTTATGTCTAGCTTTCAGCAGGTTTGGTCCCAATTTCTGGGTCCTGTCCTGCTTTTTGCTCTGTAGTGACATCTTTAGGAGAAAACTAGATGTATCTTGTGTGCATCCTGTCAAACTGTTCTGACTGCTTGTAGTTTTCCTTTAACAGAATGTTTTAGAAAATCTAACATATGCTTTCTAAATGCCTTGCTTTATATAGAAGGTGCCTGTGTGTCACTGAATATAATATGAAAAAAATTAAATATAAAGTATGTGTATGTAATTTTTATCTTTCTGCTTCCTGTTTAACCCCTTAAGGACCAAACTTTTGGAATAAAAGGGAATCATGACATGTCAGACATGTCATGTGTCCTTAAGGGGTTAAAGGGACACTCTAGTCACCAGAACATCTACAACTCAATTTAGTGGTTTTGGTGTTCATAGCCTGTCTTTGCAGGCCTTTAATCGTAAACACTGCCTCTTCAGAGTGTACATGGAGATGCTAAACGCTCCCCATAGAGATGCATTGATTCAATTTGCAACTGATTTGGCGCAGCATGGAGTGTTGTCGTGCATGCGCAATATCCTCCCAGAGCTTTCAAATGGGAAACTATTGTATTAGCTGAGATTAAGTTTGAGTCCACCATTGTCAGGTGTGGTCACATGATACATCATGACATCGGATGATGCGTTTGACATCTTCGCTGTTCGGTTGCTGTGAAATTAATATGCTGCATTTCAGGAAATTATAACCAAATGTTCAAAAGGAATTTACAAGATCTACATCAATAAAATACGGAGCAGAATTTTGGGAAAATTAAAGTCAAATTGCCACAATGTACGTAAGTAGCAAACACATAGATATATGGGACATTCTGATAACCTCCTATTGTTAATAGGTGCGCTAGAGTACAGCGAATAAATGCTGTAAAAGGTTGCACTGTTTATTTGTAAAGCGTTATGAGATCTTCAACTTAAGCTGTATCTACAATACTGGAAGAAGGGCAGGAGTCTGTATGAAACTATTCCATTCATTACAAGAGATGGCACTATAACCACTCTATTGCGTTGTCATGGTTACAGTGCTTAGTGTGCCCCTTTTAAAGGAGCGCTATAGTTTTAGGAATACAGAACTATTTCACCAAGTTAAACTGCATGTAAATGCAGAAAACGCTTAACCCTGTAATATAATTATTAGAATTTCTATGAAACGGTAATGTTTTACAGGGTCACTGGGTGCCTATAGTGTTGTGTGTTTTTTTTTTTTTTTTTTTTTATAAACATTAAATCCTCAATTTGCCAAGCATTATGCTTTTTGCTCTTTTTCATGCTGTTGAAACAGCAAGTAATGTAAAGTTTTTTTTTTTTTTTGGTAAATCTTTTTTGTTTGACAGGGTGAAATAACATAGTTGCATTATTACAGTATTTTAGACATTGTACCGTACACCAAAAGATACAGATCGGAAGGGGGAGTCCTGTACAGTTTTTGCACTGTAAAAGTTTTGTTTCCCTTATTCCTCCCACTCTGTTGTCCCATGTCTCCACTCCCTTCCAGTTTACTTTATTACTTTGCCTTGTCTTATCTTGCGATAGGGTGTGTGTGTGTGTCCCAAGGTGCGGTTTTGTGAGTTACATAGGGTAGTGAGGTATAACGTTGAGACTCGCAGGTCTCTGCGTTCCAAATGCGTATGCGGATCTACAGCGTGCTGTGTGTAGGTTGAATGGTTTGTGTGATATGTGTCCCTGTCTATAGTACGCTATCTTATATGGCTATGGATATTGTCATCACTTCTTGCAGCAGAGCCTACAGTTTGCGCGATTTCCCGTGCGTGATTCCTTAGTAGCGTCAGTAATGCGTGTATCAGCGACCTCGTAATGTGCGTTTGGAGTGGGTTTAAGATGTTGCGTGTCTGTCGCGTTTATATGAGCGTAAGCTCTCCTCTCTACACTTTTCGTTGCTGGAACGTGTAACAAGGCATGGTATGACTCGTGTTTCACTAGGGGGTCTGAACATTCCTCAGATCCCGTCAGGGCTGGGTGTTCTTCTTTTTAGAATTTCAGAGGTCGATAGTTGTTTTGCGTGGTAATGCATCTCTCCGATCCCGACTCTCCGGGCCCGGGGACCGTCCAGCGAAATAAGAGGGAGAGGATAAGAGAAAAGAAAAAAAAAAAAAAAGGGGAGTTTGGCTTACGGGAGGGGTGGACTGTTTCTGGTGGAATCCACCTCTGATGTTGCCCTGTCAGTGGGTTCGGGGGCGTTACCTGCTTGTCTGTAGCGGGTGATATAGAGAAACCATGGAAGCCACAGTTCTGTGTGTTTTGTTGCACGAACTGTCAGAGGCGTGTATTTCTTCTGCTCCGTGGATGTCTTCTACTCTGCAGATCCACTCTTTCTTAGTTGGTACATCACTTTTCTTCCAGTGTGCCGGTATGTTAGCTTTGGCCGCGTTTAGTAAGTGACGTAATATAGATCTTTTATACGTCCGAATCGATTGTGTCGTTATGTGTAGCAGGGCTAGTTCCGCGTTCCATTCCGGGACATCGCCCAGAATGTCAGTGACAGTGTCCTTAATCATTGCCCAGTATGGGGTAATGTCTCTGCATTCCCACCATATATGTATCAAAGTGCCGTGTTCTGCCTGGCATCTCCAACAGATCGGGGTGGTTGATGGGAAGATCTGGTGTAGGAGGGATGGCGTTCTGTACCAGAGGGAGAGCAGCTTGTAATTTACTTATTGGTAGTATGAGCTCATAGAGCTTTTTTGCTGCCATAGTAATGCCAAATCCCACTGTGAGGGTGTGAGTGTCTTTCTAAGTTGTCCTTCCCATTGGCGGCGGAAGGTGGAAGCCTGGGTTGTGCCTCCGATAAGTAGGTGTTGGTAGAGTGCTGATATAGCATGGTCAAGTGTGGTGCCATTGTCACAGAGGCCCTCAAACCAGGTGAGGTCTCTGTGCAAACGGTCTTTATGTGGCATTGTGTCATGGTAGTGTTTTAACTGTAGATATCTAAGCACCGTGAGGGGGGTCCTTGGATCGTCCCCTAATAATGCAGTTAGGTCCCGGACTCTGCCACCTTCGAGGGCCTTGTATATGGGGATGTAGTCCCTCTCGCTCGGGATGGGCCATGCACCGGGTGGGAGTCCACCTCCCAAGGCCACGTTATGAGTGAGTGGAATCATCGGGCTAGGGGTGGGCGATATATAGCTCTGGTCTCTCAGCGATCTCCAACCGGTGATTGTTTGTGTTATCAGCCCCTCTTTGTTTAGGGCCGCCGGGCATCTCGTTGTCCCCCATATCCTCATTTCCAGTGTTGGTCCGATAAGGCCTTTATCGAGCTCTACCCATTGTTTCGTTGTAGGGTCCTGGTGCCAATCCAGTATCCGTTGCATTACGTAGCTTGGTGATATTTCTTGACGTCTGGTAGAGCTAGTCCACCATGGTTCCTTGGGCGGCAGAGTATGTCATGTCGAATTCGAGAACGTTCCCCTCGCCACTCAAATTTAATTATCGCCGTTTTCAGGGTGGAGAAGAAGGTCCCTGGGATGGCTAGTGGGATCGTTTTCATGAGGTATAGGATTCTCGGCAGTATGTTCTTCTTGAGGATCGCAACTTGTCCATGCTAGGTTACATGTGGGTACGACCATCTAGCCAGGTCCGCTAAGATTGTTGTCAGGAGGGGGGCAAAGTTGAGTCGGTATATGTCTTCTGGGTCTGTGGTCACCCAGATGCCCAGGTACTTCATCCGTCCGTAGCACCAATGAAAAGCAAATAGCGAGTCCAGGGATATGTATTCTTCTGTAGGGATCGTGATGTTCAGGACCTCACATTTTGAGAGATTGAGTTTGAAGCCCGAGATTTTCCCGAATTTGTCGAATTCGGAAAGGAGGCACGGCAGAGTTGTTCTAGGGTGCTGTACAAAAAATAGGTCATCCGCATATGCGGCCACTTTATGGTTTGTTCCCCGCCAGCTGTATCCTTGGATGTTTGGGTTTAGGCCTATCTTCTGGAGCAGTGGTTCCAGGGTCATAGCGAACAGGAGTGGTGATAGTGGGCAACCTTGACTGGTACCGTTGTTGATTGCGAAGTCCGCTGTCATGGCCCCGTTGACTCTCACGTTTGCATGCGGTTTGCTGTAGAAGGCTGATACCCATGTGAGTAGTCTCTGTCCGCATCCCATGTGTTGTAGGGGGGTCATCATGTACGACCAGTCGACCCTGTCAAATGCTTTTTCCGCATCTGTAGATAATAATAGCATTTTAGTTTTTGTCTTTCTTGCGTGTTGTTGGATTGAGAACAGTCGTAATGTGCTATCTCTGGCCTCTCTGCCCGGAATGAAGCCTGTCTGGTCCGCGTGTATCAATTCTGGAAGAGAGTTGTTGAGCCTGCTCGCTATGACTTTCGTGATTAATTTGGCGTCTACATTAAGCAACGATATGGGACGATAGCTACCGCAAAGCAATGGATCCTTTCCTGGCTTGAGCAAGACCGTGATGGTCGCAGCTAAGGATTCCACGCCCAGGCATCCTCCGTCTCCCACCGCGTTGATCGCTTTAGTTAGCCATGGTAGCAGGAGATCAGGGAAGCTCTTATAGTATCCAGTTGAAAAACCGTCTGGTCCCGATGCCCTGCCTGATTTGGACGCTTTCAGTGCTGCTGCAAGCTATTCTGTGCTGATTGGTGTGTCGAGTGCCGAAGCTGATTCTTGGTTAATCGTTTTGAGGATCGTGTCAGAGAGGTAGTCTCTTATCTGAGTGGTTCTTCTTTCGTCGCTCGTCGTCCTCGTTGGTGGGCTCAGGTTGTATAGCGTTTCGTAGTAGGTCCTAAACTCATTGGCGATTATTTTTTTTTTTTTGGATAGGGGGTCACTTCTCCCAAGGAGAGGCGGAGTTTGCGTATTTGTCTATGGGGCGTGTAGGGCCTTTTAATAACTAGCCAGGTATTTCCCCCCTTTATTGGCGTGTGCGTAGTAAAAACCTTTCGTGCGTTGTAGATTTCGGAGAAGTAATGTAAAGTTGTATTCCTTTAAAAGCTGTTTGCATTCATCAGTGTGATCCCTAATAGTACCTAAGCTGAAGCTTGATGAAGACTGCAAAAAGACACAATGCTTTCTAATCAGATTCTTTCTCTAAATGCCTATATTGCTGGAGGGATTTGTTCTTTGTTATGATTGTGTTTCAATGCCCAATAATTCAGAGGGAAATGCAGTGCATGAAGCCAGCTTAGATTTGTATATTCAGGTCTAACACAGCCTTAGATTGAATAGAAATCAGCCATCTGTTAGAATGAGTTGTCAAAGTTACCTATTAGCAGTATTTGGAAGGAGCAGATTTGCGATCTTGTTCTTCCTGTGCTGCCAAACGCAGCTAGTCGTCTTGTTTCCCTTCATCTGTTTGTTACTGAGCCATGGTATTGTTTTAATTTATATTTAAAGTATGTAGCACCCTTGTTGTATTGTCTGTTGGTGGTTTTGTTTTTATGTGGACATACACATTATTTTAAAAATAAATAAAAGTAACCTGTCATCCAGGGGCCACCTTAGCAGTTTGTCATGATTGCGCCATCAGTGCACATTTTTGTTTTTAACACTCTACTCGACTTATTTCTCCATTATTTTGATAAACATTAATTTCCGATTTCTTTATAGTATTCATATGCTCACTCTTTCAGGTATCAGTATATAAATTTTTATCTGTAGATCTTCAGCAATAATGTATTGATCAGTGGGTATGCATCAGTTTATTGCTGCAGTGATTTTTTTATTTTATTTATTTATTTATTTATTTTTTTCCTCCTCCTAACATCATAAGCTATGCAAGAGGCATAGATATGTTTTGGTATCTTATAACGCAAAAACAGACTTAAGTAAAAGTCATGGAGTAATATGCATATCTGCTAGATTTTTAAAGATGACAATGTGAAAATTGACAAGTGAGCTACCGATTAAAACTACAACACAAAGGATAACTTAAAGAAAAGATACATCCCTGTTGATAACCATCCAGAGTCTGTGTTCAGTCATCAGATTGTTTTCTAGATGGTTGGAAGAGTTAGGAGGACAAAGGAATAAGACCTTTCATAATACACCTAGTTGAACATTGTCCTGGAAAGTTCTTACAAATTACAATATTTAATTTTATGAAATACCATAGCCATTACGTCACTGCACAGGTTACAGAGAAAAGAAACACTATGGGTGCCGACTACGGTTAGTTAAACCGATGGAAGTAGTTTAATTAAAATTTGTTACCATGGTATTTATAGACTGTCCCTTCTTTAGATCTCTTGACAAGTTAGTAATTTCTCGTTTGCATTATCATGATTCATTTTGTACAACCTGTATGGCAATGATGATGCCTCCCAAATGGATTGACAAAAGTGGAGGCACAATGCACATTCTCTGCTTCATATCAGTACTCTGCGCTTTAGTGGTTAGTTATCAGTACTTTTTTTTTTTTTTCCTGTGGTATCATATTTACATGCTTTGTTTTTGCAGTAAAGGGTCTGTTATTCTTTGCTGCAGTAGTAGTAACTTTTTCATTTCTTGCCCAATATCTCTTTTCTCCAGAAACACTTGTTTTTGCCTTGCTAAATCTCACCAGAGACCTTAAAGGGAAACTGCATAGCGTGAGGATGTCCAGCGTCGTTTAGGCCTATCCACCTGGAATTGCCTCTAGTGGTTGTCTGGTAGCCACTAGAGTAGGAGTTAACCATTTTATAAAAACTACAATAATTGCATGCTCAGGGTTATGGGAGTTTGCACCTACACCACTTCAATGAGCTGACGTGGTCTGGGTGCCTACAGTGTCCCTTTAAGCAGAAATATAAATAAGGTTTACTCACCGTAGAAATGCCTAGTTGTAATTTTAAATAAGTTCTTGCTATTTTTTTCCTACTCCTCAAGCACACATGTGAAGCAAAATAAGATTTTAAATATATATTGTTTATATGTTGAAAGTTATGAGATTTTGAAGTTTTGTTTCTCAATTTCTTCTGTCTTTTAGATGACCATGGATGAGAAATACGTAAATAGCATTTGGGATCTCCTCAAAAATGCAATACAAGAAATTCAGCGGAAGAACAACAGTGGGCTAAGTTTTGAAGAACTGTATAGAAATGCATATACTATGGTGTTGCACAAGCATGGGGAGAAACTCTATACAGGTTTACGAGAAGTGGTGACAGAACATCTTATAAACAAGGTAATTGCACTCCAACTATGGACTGCATAAAAACATTGCTGCATGAACCATCGGTGCTCCATCATTGACTTGTTTGCGACAGCCCATTAATGTACACCGGTTTAAAAAAAATAAAAAAAATAAAAATTGTCTGTTGCCAAGAACAAATATTACTGCTGAGTTAGGTAAACCTGGTATGTTAATGTTAAATACCTTCAGCTACACCTCCTGCTACAACTATGCAATAAGCAATTTAGACTTTTTTTGAAGCAAATATCCTAACAGAAGATTTTAAATGGATATGTGGCTATCCTTTCACTACCAGAGAGAAAAGACTTTCTCTCCGTGAAGAGCTTTCAGAGTAAATGACACCAGATGCACACAAGCTTGGGAACGTCTATGGATGAATATCAGATAAAAAAAAAGTGTTTCCTGATCACGTTTTGCCTTTTAAGTTTAGTGTATTAAACTGCCATCTCTACACTTTCTGCCCTCTTTTATGTATACAAACATTTTTATTTTCCTTTTAACCCCTTAAGGACACAATTTCTGGAATAAAAGGGAATCCTGTCGGAATATTTCCGTCATGTGTCCATAAGGGGTTAAAGGGACACTTCAGGCAGCTAAACTAGTTAAGCTTAAATTATAGGTAATAAGATAAAAATACATTTGATTAGTTTCTTTGCTTTCAATTCTGTGTAGTTTTCCAGCAGTGCTGTAACATGTTTAGCTGTTTTCAGTGGTGTAACTGTTCTGTAGTGTTAAGAATGCTGAAAGCAGACTGCACTGCAGTCTCCTGCGCTACGTACTGTTAACTCCTTTCCTGCCAGCCTCTGTCAACTTTCCTACCTACTGTTAATCTCTCCCCTGTCAGCCAACCTCACTACCCACACCCCTCCCCTGCCAGTCCCTGTCAGCCAACTTCACTACCCACAGTTAACCCCTTCCCCCTCCAGCCCCTGTTATTCAACCTCGACAGAGAGAACACAAAGCTCTATAGGTCGCTTTATATTTATAATAAACATATGACACTAGAATACCTAATGTGTTGAGTAAATATTAGCATGTTTGAGACGTGGTTTGTTTGTAAATTCTAGAGTTTGAATGCTGAGGAGGCTTGGGCAGGCATTGTGGGCATGTGTTGAGCTGAGTGAAGGTCAGGCACACCCACTAAGGCATGTCATTACTGATTCTCATAGAGTATCACTGGAGCATGGCCACTGGTGGACAGACTGGCTGAAATACAGCAAACAGGGAGATAGCAAAGGGAGAAATGAGATGCAATCAAAGGATGAGCAGGAAATTCGGGGTGGGGGTGTGGATATGCATATTTTTTTTTTTATTTTTTTTTTATTAACCCATAGAGTTCCTTTTTAAATTGTGGAAAGTTTTCCTTTGCAAAGCACCCAGTGGCTCCCCCTTACCCCCTCGTTTTGACAAATGTCCAGCTAAAGCCCTGTCTCAAAGTATAAATACAGAATAGGTCATGTTACAGATTCCTTCCATGTAGCTGGGGACCCTAAACACTGGTAGAACAGATATGCTGTCTGTCTGAGATTGGTGGGAGTTACCATCTCAAGCAGCACTTGCTGTTGTATTGCCAGCAGCTGAAACAGCTGCTGATCAGTACTGTAAGTTTTACTAAGCCACAAGTCTCAACTTTCAAACGGACAAAGAGGGACACTTTCATTTTGGGGCTGTGGCCAGTTGCAGAGCTGTGTTGGAAAATGTTAAGATGCTTACCAATAACCATTTATGCAACTGAAATGCAATTTAGAACAAGAGAAATACTTTATTTACAGAACCATTACTGTGAGTATTATTGCTGTGAAGCTCTGTTAGACAATCACACTCACAACATGGAGCTCCTTGAAAAGAATGACAGGTGGATTTAGGCCCAAAAGGGGGACTATTCTGTCCCTCCTAAATAGGGACCTGTGTGAGCTATTCTCCAAGCTCAGGCAGCACTGGGACATGTCTGTCATAGTGCTGCCATTTTAGTGTAAAGGCTTCATATTAACATCTAAACTACATTAAACATTGGTTACTGTACTACATGAAAACACTAAACATGAACCCCTACACAAACAGTTAACCTATTAACATTATTTTCTCATAATTCAAGGGTCGCTGCCATGTATCCTTATGTATAGTGTTGTCTGTTACCTGCCATTACACCTTGCTAGAACAGGTTTTAATGTTCTTGAAAGAATGTGATTGCAGATAAGAACCATTTGACCCATCTAGTCTGCCCAATTTTCTAAATACTTTAATTGGCCCATGGCCTTTATTTTATAGCCTTATGCCTATCCCACGCATGCTTAAACTCCTTTACTGTGTTAACCTCTACCACTTCAGCTGGAAGGCTATTCCATGCATCCACTACCCTCTCAGTAAAGTAATACTTCCTGATATTATTTTTAAGACTGTCCTCTTGTTGTGGTAGTTTTTCTTCTTTTAAATATAGTCTCCTCCTTTACTGTGTTGATTCCCTTTAGGTATTTAAATGTTTCTATCATATCCCCCCTGTCTCGTCATTCCTCCAAGCTATACATGTTAAGTTCCTTTAACCTTTCCTGGAAAGTTTTATCCTGCAATCCATGAGCCAGTTTAGTAGCCCTTCTCTGAACTCTCTCTAAGGTATCAATATCTTTCTGAAGATATGGTCTCCAGTACTGTGTACAATCCTCCAAGTGAGGTCTCACCAGTGTTCTGTACAATGGCATGATCACTTCTCTCTTTCTATTGCTAATACCACTTCCTATACAAAAGCATTCTGCTAGCATTTCCAGTTGCTCTATTACATTATCTGCCTACATTCAAGTCATCTGAAATAATTACCCCTAAATACCTTTCCTCAGATGTTGAGGTTAGGACTCTATCAAATAGTCTGTACTCTGCCCTTGGGGTTTTTACGTCCAAGATGCATCATTTTGCACTTATCCACATTAAATGTCAGTTGCCACAAACTCTGCCCTTTTAAACAACTACAGACATTGCATAACATACCAAATTCGCTATGCAAACAAAAGCCCCCACCAGCACTAGAACCACTAGCACCGCCTCAGCAGGAGAGACAGCGGTCTATCCTCGAGGCGCTATGCACACAGAAAAAAAACACCATCCAAACCCATGTCCCTTCTATACCATGACATCCACAAATTAAATTCGGCAAAGCCAAAATTCACCCTAGCATGGGAGTCAGACTTCCAGCAGGAGCTAGACGAACAACAATGGTCCAAAATATTCAATGCAAATAAAAAACTAACTCTATGCACAACACACATTGAAGTGTCCAGGAAGGTATTGTATCGATGGCATCTAGTCCCCACCAGATTACACCACTTCAACCCCCACAAGTCAGACCTATATTGGAGATTCCTAGCATGCCCCGGAACGGTGTATCATATGTGGTGGACTTGCGCAAAGATTATACCTTTCTGGACACAAATCTCGAACCTAATAAGGGACACCACACAAATTGATTTACGCATGCAACCGGAGTGGTACCTACTACTACTCCCATTAGGCATACCTAAATCTGCACAGTATTTGATGTATCTCACCCCCCGACTTTGGCCTCCTGCATCCAGGCCATCGAAACTACCAAAAAATACGAAATTATGGCTAGGAAAGCTGACCCCCAGGCACACCTCTGGGAGACCGCCTGGAACTCATGGAATACATTCTATAGCAGAGTAGAAAAAGGTAGTTAAGCAGCAACCGATGTCATTGGCTCATGATTCGAACTATAGACACCTCTGGACAGAGGTAATTCTGGGATATCTCTAACCCTATTTCGCTGTATGCCCTTAAACATATACAAGCATTACTAAAGACCTCGACAATTTCTTTCTCCCCCTCCCTCCCCTGGTACCCTTTCACCCAGTTTTATTGACATCCCCCTTTTTAAAGAAAAATGGGCACAAGTAACAATCAATACAATCCTGTACTAGGCCGAGAATTTGAGAATCATACTACTTACTTGGGACATTAATCTCTCTCTCTCTCTCTCTCTCTTTCTCTCTCTTTCTCTCTCTCTCTCTCTCTCTCTCTCTCTCTTCTCTCTCTTTCTCTCTCTTTCTCTTTCTCTCTCTTTCTCTCTCTTTCTCTTTCTCTCTCTTTTCTCTCTCTTTCTCTCTCTTTCTCTCTCTTCTCTCTTTCTCTCTCTTTCTCTCTCTCTCTTTCTCTCTTTTTCTCTCTCTTTCTCTCTCTTTCTCTCTCTTTCTTCTTCTCTCCCCAATTTTGGCTTATCTCTTCTGGAACATCAACCCTGTTACATATCTTCGTATCATCAGCAAAAAGACATACCTTGCCATCAAGACCTTTTGCAATATCCCTAATAAAAATATCAAAGAGAATGGGTCCAAGTACAGATCCCTGAGGTACCCCATTAGTGACAAGCCCATGCTTCGAATATACCCGTTTATTGATAAGCCTTCTATGTGCAACAGTGTCAAAAGCCTTAGTGAAATCTAGGTAAGCAATGTCTACTTCACCACCCTGATCTATTATTTTAGATTTTCAAAAAAATCTATGAGATTAGTTTGGCATGATCTTCCTGAAGTAGACCATGTTGTATCTGATCTTATGTTATTTTAGATGTTCAACAATCCTATCCTTTAACATGGTTTCCATCACTTTCCCCACTACTGAAGTAAGGCTTACTGGCCTATAGTAGCCCGACTCCTCCCTACTACCTTTGTTGTGAATGGGCATAACTTTTGGTAATTTCCAATCTTCTGGGACTACTCCTGTTAACAATGATTGGTTAAATAAATCTGTTAATGGTTTTGCTAATACACCACTAAGCTCTTTTAATAACTTTGGGTGTATTCCATCAGGTCCCATTGACTTATTTGTCTTTACTTTTGACAGTTGAAATGGAAACTCTTCCTCTCTAAACTCACATGTAACAAATGACTCTTTTTGTCCTAACTGAGGCTCCTTTTCTTCATTTTCATCTGTAAATACTGAACAAAAATATTAATTGAGGTAGTCAGCTAAACCTCTTCTACATACCTTCCTCCTTTTTGTTTTTAATCTAACTAATCCTTGTTTTACTTTCCTTTTCTCATTTATGTATCTAAAATGTCTTTTGTCCCCCTATTTTTTTTATATATATATATATCTCTATCTATATCCACAGTATCCTTGCACTCCAGCTTCAAAAAAATCATTCAAACCGGGTGCTCAAAATCAGGGGAAATATTACATACCAGTCTGTGTTGATTAGCACTCACGGATTTCCAAAATAAAGTTAAAAAAAATCAGAGTTTATTAATCCATTAAAAAGGCTCTTTCAACGTTTCAGTCCACTACTGGGACTTTCTTCAGGAATGAAAAGCCATAAGACAGAATTACAAATATATAACAAATAATTAAGAATAAACTTACCCCAGGTGTACCGAGTCCCCCTGTGTGCACCGGCGACCCATGGTGTGAATTGCGCATGCCTGAGGTTAATCGCCCCCTTACAGTGTTGTCACGTGATAATGGAGACGTCGGCACTAGCCGTGTGTCCATGACAACCAGACATAAACTGGCCGCGATAGTGCTAGAGACAGAGGAGAGAGTGTGCACGCAAAAAGTGAATTGATACAATATATTTAAAATAGCCCGGTATTAGTAGAAACTAAAAAAATTGCTACCAATAATCCCACTATTAAAGTAATCAAGTTACTAGTGATCTAGAAAAGACCATATATATCCATAATAATAAATATCAATTTAAAGTGATAATGTGCAAATCTGCGCTTAAGAGAGAGTGAAGACCACATTAAAGAGAGGAACACATTTAAAGTGAAACAGTGCTATGTGTATAATTGTAGCCATATGTCCACTGGAAAGAAGTGAAAATTTAAAGTGCCAGTTAAGAGGTGACTCCTATAAAGAGCACAATTTAAGAAATAATCTACTAAGTGTAGTTATAAAGAAGTGATAATGAATCATAAATGTAAATGACAAATTGAAGGATATTCAATAAAAATACACACAAATTAGACTTTAAAAACAATAGCTGCAGTAGATTCAAATAAATGAGTGATAGGAGATAATCTCATTGAGTCCTTTGGGGGCTATTGTATCCAGAGTATATATCCAAAAAGTCTCACGATTTTAACAACAATTTAGCCCTGTCCCCCCCCTCATCTTGGTGGAGGGACATGGTCAATCGCCACGAATTTAAGGGTTGATAGTGGATGTTGAAGAGATTAAAAAATGCTTTGCAACCGGCTGATCAGAACTACCATCCCTGTAGGCCACTCTTATGCTTGATCTATGTCCTCTAATCCGTTCACATAGAGGAGTACCACAGTGGTTTCTTAAATTTTTTGCTTTTACTGACAAGCCTAATACAATTTTCTGTTGCCTTCAGGAGTGCAACTTTTAAATAATCCCATTTCTCCTGGACTACATTTAAACTGCTCCAGTCTGATAATGACTCCTTTACACATTCTAATTTTAGAAAAGTATGTTTTTCTGAGGTACAAAACGGAAATGAAGAGCCCTGGATTTACCAGGTTGTTTCAAATTGACTTCTCATTATTTGTAGTGGTGGCTCAGCTGTAGCTGTGAAGTTTGGAGAGATTGCCATAACCAACTTGATATACATTTATTTTTTTATTTTATTTTTAGCACTTTTTGCTTGCAAAAATATAACCAATTTTATCTAATATCGACGGTGTGTCCTGGTGTCTTTTTTTATTTTTATTTTTTAATTTCCCTTTTTCTTTATAAATCAACTTGCTTGCCTCCAAAGTTTTTCTAATTATCTGTCAGGAACTTCTTTTGGAGTTTTAGGCACGTTTTTGGATGGTAGTTTTGTAAATGTGTGTTTTGTTTTTTTGTCTCACCAATCATGCATATCTCCCAAACTGTCCCAGTATTGTATATTCTGCATACTTTTTTCTTTAGTTGGTAACACATTCCCAGACCCAGAATATCCTATAATGGAGACTGCGTAATGTAAGGGATAGACTGTGTTGAACAGCGAGATTATGACAGATTTGAGGAACTGATACTGACAGGAAGAGAGTGGGTGAAAGTAACTGACATCAAGAGATGAACATATGGAAAGAGGGGACGGGGGAAGAACAACAGGGGACGGGAGAATACTATGGGGCGGGGGGGAGAGAGGAATATTAAGTGGGGGGGCACTAAAAGAGAAGGGAAGTTTTTCATATTAGATTAATTAAATCAAGTCTAATATTAAAAAAAAATTATAGGAAAAAAACCTTTTTTAAATTATTTGGGGGGGGGAGTCATTTTTGGTTTGGGCCCAGAATTTTAATTTCGGTGCACCCCTAGACACTAGTTACCAGAACTACAGATTATTATCTTCAGGCTTTTTGCTGTAAATACTGTCTTTTCAGAGAAAATGCAGTGTTTACATTACAGCCTAGTGATAACTTCACTGGCCACTCCTCATATGGCTGCTAGAGTTGCCTCCTTGGGCAGTGCTGCAGAGTAAGCAGCACTTCAATTCAGTGTCTCCACCCTCTCCACTTTCCTCAGAGATTCATTGATTCAATTCATCTCTGAGGAGATGCTGATTGGCTAGGGCTGTGTTTGACTTGTGCTGGCTCTGCCCCTGATCTGCCTCCTTAAAGCATTGTAATTGGTTCAGACCACCACTTCTGATGTCAGCAGACAGGGGCAGAGTTAGCAGCTGCAGACTTGAATACATGTAAGATTTTACTATATTTAGGAGGGCCAGGGGTGCTAGATGGTGGTTTTAAAACTATATGGTGAGGAATACATGTTTGTGTTCCTGATCCTATAGTGCTCCTCTAAGTAAGCATGATTTGTTGTGTTGAGTTTGTTGCAGAAACTGTCATTGTTTTAGCAGAAAATGCTGTTGCATTGTTATAATGGCAGATTGAATGAGTAAATTGTCATGGAGATTCAATATAGCTAAATTCAGACACGATTTCCAAATGTATTCATTGATAGTTTGGTACAGAGCCTCTCTACTCTCTCTATACATTTTGAATTCGATTATTCGTTTGTCCGGTTTCATTTAGTATATTATACTTTGCAGCTCGGGATATACATTTTGTTTATAATCAAATATGGGTGGACAAAGGATGCAAAATTCTGAGTAAAACCTCTTTTGTGAAAGTTGTAAGATTTGTTCATCTTTTTAGTTCACCAGAAGAGCTCTGTATTGGTGAATATTTCCATACATACTCAAGCAAAATCATAGATCTTTTCAAGATGACACGACTTCTCTTAATAACAAACGTTTGGTTTTTACAGAAAGTGCCTTTGTGTTTGCAAAATAAGTGGCTCAGTAATGAAGCTTATTTTATCAGCAAACAGAGTATACAGTTAATTTTGTTATTTAAATTTATTTAAAAGGCTACAGTTGTTCTGTGAAATCTTGCATGTGCTGATGATTGCATATTTCACTTTGAGTCATAGGATACTGCTCTAAAAGCATTTCAATATTGGGGATTAAAGGGACATATTTTATTGTTAAAGTCGAAAAATGGCACACTTTTTGTTTGTTTTTTTTGTTCTGTTTTTGACTTCATGATTTATTTATTTTTTTGTTTTCCTTTTTATTTTTCCAGCAGTTTGTTCTTTCATATTTAATACTTCATAAATAGAACTTGGTGATGGTGAATGGTTCAGCCTGACCAGCAAATCCATGCTGAGCTAGATTTTAATCCTGGTCCATGTGGGTTTGAAAGCAGTGTGGTACTTCAATAGATTACCATCAGGAATTCCTCTTGTGCTCTGAACAAGTAATGACCATTATGCTAATTGACCAGTGTGGCTACTGTTCGTGAGTGTTATTAATATGCATATGGTTAGATAATGAGATTTTTTTTTAAATTTAATTTTTAACATTTTATGCCCCACACACTTTAAATAGGGCAGACAGTGAATGAAAAACTATGAAAATATACTGGCAGTGCACACAAACATATATATTCAATTAATCGTTTATTTAAAAATTGTATGATTAAAAATACTTACATCTGTTCTGGATTTTTTCTGGTGTTCACTGTATCAAAATATTGGGCATTACAAGGAACTTGAAGTGTTTACTAGAATAAGTAGCGTAATACAAGTTTTAAAAAATGACTTAAATGTTCAGTATGACAGCTGCCTTCCATAATGCTCCAGGCTTGATTTCACTACATTACAGTGCAGAAGATATGCTCAGCTAATGAAATACTTTAAAATATGCTTGAAATTGATATTGCTAAGTACTGGATTGGAACCCAGTATGGCGTAGTAATGCAGGACTTGGAAAATTTGTTTAGATTCTGGAAGCCAGCTAAAAAAAAGCTAGCCGTTTTTTTTTTTGTTTTTTTTTTTGTTGTTTTTAAATTAAAAAAAAAATCTTTAGTCATTGCTACCAACAAGCACAATAAAAACAAAAAACAAAATAAAAGTACACCTGAGAAAAGGTGCGTCGGATCAGACATAGAGTAAAATAGATGTATAATGGTTACAGCACAACCAAAAATATTAACTAAATTGGCCATCAAAAGAAAAAAGGGGGTAGATGCTGTGGAACTCTGCAAGTGGAGGTGTAACACCTGAGATGATGTCTCTCAGGGCGTCTTCGGTGGAAGAGTCCTGCGGGAGCTCTAGGGTTTCCAGAAGGGCCAATGCCTCTTTTAGGTTGTGTGCTGAGAGTCCCCCTAGAGAACCACTAACGTGCAATTTAGGCGCCGTCGATATTGCAGATCGTGTTTTCCAAGGTGGGTTGTGAACAGCCTCAGAGATTGCCTCCAAAGCCAATGTGTTCCCTGAGAGGTCATTGTAAAACATGAGTGCCTATCCTTTAAAGGTGTACAGTGTTTGTAGAACCGCTGCCAGTGTGTAGTTGGACTACCAAGTCCCTTGGGACTGTATCAGAGGCTCCTTGATTTTGGGAATGCAAAAGCAGCCCTCCACTCCCACCGCCTTGGCGTGGAGGCAGCAGAGCTCCTAGGGGCGCCTCAGCATTTGTGGTAGTTCTGCCATTGGGACCTCTTCAGATACGCCCCGTATCTTGATGTTGGATTTGCGCCCCATTTCCTCCACGGCTGCCAGACTGCGGTCCTGCACCTCTCACTGCATTCTGAGCTTGAGAATTTCTTTCTGCTGCGTGGAGGCTAGGCTCCGGGGGTGTTCTCCTGAGGTATTTTCCACCGTCACTAATCTGTATGTCAGGCCCTTTTAGGTCGGATCTCAGGGTTGCCCCATCTGCCAGAATGTTAGCTTGCAGGTCGGCCAGTAGTGTCTTTAATACTGCTTTTGTCACGGGGGAGTGTCTGTCTGGGGCCAGGGACCTTGGTTCCAGTGCTGGTCGGGCGTGTAGGGCCATATCTTCCTCCCCCATAAAACGATCATCATAAGGTCAGGGTAAGTCTCTGGGTAGTCGTCCATCTTGGGCCTAATTGAACACTGCGCCTGGCGCAGGAGGTGTGTGATATTCATGCCCGTGCGGGGCTTATCCGGCTTTTGTTTTTTGGTCTTTTGACCCATCTTGTCTCTTATACCTTGTTCCTGCGTTTTTGTTTCCCTGATCGAGGTATAGTGCCCGAAATGGGGGTTTAGATGGCTGTGTATGCAAGGAGCTCTGCTGGAGTGCAACCATTCAGCTCTGCTGCGAAACTTCACTTTTTTTTTTTTTTTTTTTTAAACTGCCAAAGCATTATTTTCGGACAAAAATACAATTCTTAAAGGGTCACTATAGTCACCAGAAGCACCAGAGCTTTAATGCAAGGGTTCTGGTGTCTATTGCCTGTCCCTACAGGCTTTTAAACACACTACATTTTCATTGCTGCTTAGTGACAGTCACTCAGATGCTCTAGAGGTGCTTCTATGACCAGTGCTGCACAATGTGCAGCATCTACACGCTCTACATGGAGGCGCTGAATGTTCCCTATAGAGATGCAATGATTCAATGCATCTCTTTAAGGAGATGCTAATTGGTGCAGCATACTGTTTTGATGCGCATGTCCAACAACCTCCCAATGCTGTCTTATGGGAATATTGGGATCTCCGCCATGAAGGTCAAGTCAGGCATGGCGAGACCGGCACAGCATGGGGAACAAAGGTGAGTAAACACTTTTCCCATGCAATCTTAGGGGAGCTGGTAACCTAGACAGACGCACGCACACACACGTGTACACATCTCAGCACCACAGCAAGGCGCACAAGGGAGCAGAGCAAGAAGAGCTGGTGCCTGGGGTTTGTTGAGCGCTGCTGTAATGGCATCATAACCACTACATTGAACTGTAATTGTTATGGTAACTAGGCTGTCATTTAACATAACATTACCCCCCTCCCAGCAAGAATATGTAAAACTAGTTAATTTTAAAGTAATTTCCTGCATCTGGTCAGATAATTAAATTCTTGACATTCTTCAATTTATCTTTTGTGGGTCCATTTGTAAACTAATGGTCAGGAACACTAAGGGGTTAGGAATAAAGGTTTGTATTACTAACACTTTAGTGTTCCTTTAATAAATTAAATATGTGAATAGAATTGTAGAAAGTTATGCTAAAATAACACATGTAATGTTTTTATATTAATGCTATGTTGCAGCTAATTTTTCTGCAAAAAAATAAACTACTTAGCAGCTCGTAAATGGCCTTTTGTTTGTGATTATGTGTATTTATTATATATAAGGTCATTTTTAAAATATGGAAACATCCCAAAGATATACCACTCCGCACTACTCAATGTCTTATTTTTTTTTTAAAGGTATTTATTAAATGTTTCATGCTCTAGAATTGCAATAGAGAATCACTGTTCTATGACGATATTTTTTTATCTCTGTATATATCTCGTCAATTCATAGTATATACATGGTATTTGAAAATAAAATGAAGGCTTATATAATCTATAAATCTTTTTGTGTGATTTGTATTTGTTTATTTTTTTTTCTTCAAGTTCTGAGACGTGGGTCTCAACCACTGGGTCTGACCCAAAAAGTTCTTCCCCATAAAGTTTCTTTTCACTGGGTCCCATCTGGGTGGTATATGAATTTATTGGGTCCCAAGCAACTGCACAAAAAATGTTTACTCTAGCAGCTCTTCCTTACCTAGTAATGGACTTGCAACATTTTCCTAGCAGTTCCTTATCTCTGCTAGAACACTCAAAACCTTGGAAATTCTGCCCCCTTGTGTTTTGAACAGTTAGTTGGAATTACAATTGATAAATTGGTATGTTTTTTTTTTTTTCCCTTGTTAATGAACATTTACAAACTTTCCCAAATTACAATTTCTGTTTTTATCTAATTTGAGCAAAAGGTGCATTGCTTTTATACAGATAAAGACAGCGCTTTATAATGCGCACACACCTGCTTTACCCCTGTAAAGTTCCTAGTTAACACCTTCACTATTCTGTGAATGAAGTATTTTAGCTACATTTTGTGTTGATCATGTTTATTCTTAGGCTGCATTGTGCAGTGAACAACCCATTATAACTTGTATGGTTTCTGCTATTGAAACTCATTGGTGTTCTTTATCTTTACAGGTTCGAGAAGATGTTTTAAACTCTCTTAACAACAACTTTTTACAAACCCTTAATCAGGCTTGGAATGACCACCAAACGGCCATGGTAATGATCAGAGACATTTTGATGTACATGGTAAGTTTTTTTTGGTATACATGCTTTATAGCATGTATTCTGAACTAAAACCTCTATCGGCATGGTGCAGCCGGTGCTCTGGCAGTTGCAAACATGCAGTGTGTGCATGAGCTGTAAATATTGGCACAGTCAAGGAAAACTTATAGATTGTCCCTCGTTTGTCACAGAGAAAGTGGTAGACTTGGCTTCGGTGATTTATTCATTTTATAAAGAACTACGAATGGCTGCAAATGAGGAGGGACTTAAAAGCTCTCCCAAACTGATTCTTCGTAAATACTTGTATGTAAAGACAAATCAATGTCTGGCAAGTTAATAATTTGTCAAAGTGGCTAGTTGTATGATAGTTGGGAATAGACAGATTTTTATTTATTTTTTTTCCCAGTGCTCATGCCGATACAGATTAACAATCCCTTTTTTTTATGCCAGTTACTAATAGCCGTACATTTAACTTTAAAAAAAAAAAAAAAAAAAAGCAGCACAATTTTCTACAAAATCTAGCATTAATTGAGCATGCTGACAGCCATCACTCTCTGCATGCAGGGAGTGGTGACGTGAGGCTGTGATGTGGCTCCTCATTGGCCGGCAGATGGAGTTTTAGGGTCATCGGTAATATTGGTAAATTACAAGGCTGATACAGATTTATCTGAAATATGTTGAGTATTGGCACTGATAATCAGCAGAACCAGTAATTAGTCTATCCCTAGTCACTTGACTGTGCTGAATGATTGGTGTAAACATGTGCATGATATGTGTTAGGCTTTGGAAATTTTTAAAACCTAAAAATGAAAGCACTAAAAAGGCTTTCTCTTTGAGATGTCCTTACTTTTTTTGGTACAGGATCCTCTTGCAGCCATACTAAGGTAATAACATTAAAACGTCTATTAAACCGTGGCCAAATGTTAACTCCGGACTGTAAAAAGACGCCCTCAAACGTCTGTCTTCATAACTTAAATGAGCCATAACTTTACAGGCCAAATTGCTGTAAAATGGTTTTCGTGAAATCATTGTAACTTTACACAACATTGCTATGTGATTGCTGGGTGTAAGGTTTCTTTATGACGAAGCAATTTTGATTATTTTAGGACTACTTTTTTAGAATCCAATAACACATTGTAAACATAAAAAAAAAAAACACATATTGCTCTGTTGAAGTGAGATAAAATATGGGATTAGTAATACTGGCACCAAAACTATATATTTCGGAGTTAACCTCTCTATGAAAGTATCCCATAATATTGTTTGCCCTGCACACTTGGTTTTAGGAAGTGACTATTTTGGTCTTATGCCTACTGATGCCTGTTTCTGGAGTTAGTGATACAATATGGCAAATATATTAAAATATCTCTGCATTTGGAATGTTTTGAGACAAAGCATTCCCAACAGCAGGACAAATGACAGGAGATCTTGGGATGATTTAACAAGAGAAATCGACATTTAGCTCAAAATAGCCAAGTTTGAACATTTTCATCTCTCTTTCTAGCTTAACTGTGTTGGCTTCAAATTTGCAGTTCTCTTGTCGGAGGTACGCAATTAATAGATTGTGAATTTAATATTTATTTGGGGTATTTACGACTAACCGGTATGATGATTCAGTTTAAAAAGGAATGAGGAATTATGCATCTGACCACTTTTCTTTTTCCAGGATAGAGTTTACGTTCAGCAAAACAATGTTGAAAATGTCTACAATCTGGGGTTGATCATATTCCGTGATCAGGTCGTGCGTTATGGCTGCATAAGGGACCACTTGCGACAGACCTTGTTGGATATGATTGCAAGAGAGCGCAAAGGTGAAGTGGTGGATAGGTGAGTGTTTTATTTTTCATTGTTGTTCTAGGGTTATTCACATCAAATTCCAGGACTTAACTCAAGCCAAATATTTAAGTTAACCTATCCTTCTCTTTGCTGATTAACGCAAATTTCTTTGTCCATGCTGGGCAGTGTTCAAATAAATGCTTTTCAAAGAGAAGCATTCACTTGAACATTTGTGTGCTGAGAAACTAATCAAGCACGACATTGGATATCAATTAGCAGTAGGCAAGCTGGGCAGGGATCAGCCAATATCTGTGAGTGTAAAGGCTGTGTGTTTCCCATCAGTATATTGTGGGCACAAACAACGGATGCTATGATAGCACAAATTCTGCATAGGCAGCCCTTTGGTTTTATGCCTACTGATGCCTGTTTCTGGAGTTAGTGATACAATATGGCAAATATATTAAAATATATCTGCATTTGGAATGTTTTGAGACAAAGCATTCCCAAGCAGGACAAATGACAGGAGATCTTGGGAAGGAGCAGGGTTGTCTGGAGGTGGATGTTATGAAATTATAATTTCCACATAGGTGAGCACATGGCGACGCTGGAAAGGAGACTTTGTGAGTGAATATCTCAAAATTTTACATTGAATACATCATGCATCTCTGTATTCCATGCCATTTGCAGGGGGGGTGGCATTTATACATTCTTTGTCATCATGTACATCAATTGATCATATCACAATGCTTGGCAAATCCCAGGAGTCAAGCAGCCTCTATACATTTACAAAACATTTTCTTTCACAAAACTGGCTTAGAAAGAAACTTGCCTTTCCTAAGCCAGTTTTGTGAATGCAGAGTCACTGGCTGAGTGCGCGATCTGACCACTTTCAGCCAATCAGGGATGCCCATGCCCGACGGCACGCCACGCTTTCTGAAACAGATATTTCAGAAGCCGGACGCGGCCTGTTTGAGCTGTGATCGGTGTTGGGGTTAAACTGTTTGAAAAAGGTTTTCCCCTTGAGGTAAAAGGGAGCCCAGGGGCATCCTGGTACATAACATAATGTATATGAAGTTGTTACAGTGCCAAACTGTCCACTTTTAAGGATGCTTCAAACTCAATGCCCCTGTTTGTTTTAAAATTTCTAGTAGACCTACAGTCCTTTTATCTCTCCCTCACTTTGGTTATTGCTCTCGGTAAGCTTTATCTCGATGCCCTCACACTAGCTCTTCTTGCGATCTCGACTTTAAGGTTTTTCTTTCTTCTTTTTGATTACATTAGTACTCCATATCGTATGATCTTTAAAGGAACACTATAGCGTCAAAAACTCAAACCTCTATTCTAGCCCACCTTATCCCCCTAAGTATAGTAAAATTTTACTTTTATTTACAGTCTGCTGTTTCTGGCTCTGCCCCTGATCTGCCTCCTTGGCTGACATCAGAAGTGATGATCTCACCCAATCACAATGCTTTCTCTGTCAGGGGCGGAGCCAAACACAACCCAGGCCAATCTGCATCTCCTCATAGAGATGCATTTATATGAGGGAAGTTCTGTGTCCCCATGCAGAGGGTGAAGAAACTGAATGTGGCACTGGAGGCGTCCCTAGGCTGTAATTTCTTTGAAAAAAAGTTTTTGACTAGACCAGAACAAATACATTAACCTTTAACATTGGCAAAAAAATACAGATTTATTTATTTGTCCTATCGGGTCATTGGAATGATCACTTTGGTTATTTGTCAAATTATTTACTTATCTGCAATTTTTCATTGACCTTTAAAAACTGCAATACTAGTTTACTAAACTTGTATTTATTTGATTCTGTTCCCTTTGTTTGTGTTGTGTGACACTATGGATGACAGAGGTGCCATAAGAAATGCTTGCCAGATGCTAATGATCCTTGGACTTGAAGGGAGGTCAGTCTATGAAGAAGATTTTGAAGCTCCGTTTTTGGAGATGTCTGCAGAATTCTTCCAGGTATTAAGATACTGTCATACTATTTTGTTTTCTTTTATATTGAAAGTGTAATTTCACTAGTAGTGAAGTAATATAGTAGTATGTTTTTGTTACAGGTTGATATAGTATAATTTTTTTATTTTAATATACTAGATCAGGGGTAGGCAACCTTTCAGCAGTATTGTACCAAAACAAGATCTTGATGCCCCCTGGTGTGCCATTTTTAAATTGAGTTGTGTGTGTTGCCATATACTGATTGCCTTATTTATGGGTGCTACAGTTGCTTTGAAGCGTTGTATTTGTGTGGATGTGGCTCTTATATATGTTCATGAGTGGTTTGTGGTACAGTATTGTGTATCATAACTACGAATGTGGGCTGTGTATGGGGGCTGCTTGTAGAATTGTATGGATTAAATGTCACTTTGTGTATTTGTGGGACTGTTTGTGTTACTGCATCTGAGAGGCTGGTTGTGAGGTTGTGTGTACGTATGTGGCTTGTCTGTGGTGTTGGTGTTTGTGGGGACTCTATGTGGCCTGTTTGTATTACTTGTATGAGGAGGAGGCTTCTTCTCCAGCTCTGTGTATATCTATCAGTGTAGTCTGCTTCCCTGGGGTCCAGTGTGGACTGGGTAGGCCAGACACAGGTCACGGACAGGAGATTTGATAGTTGCTGTGGGTTGCTCTACTCCAGTGTGGATTCCATTTCACAAGTGCTGGGAGGATGTTTTCTGAGATAACCTCCTCTACATGCTGCAATGCGTAAGCTGAAGATTGCCCCTCACCACCTGCAATCACCGCTCCATTTGCACTAGCAGATATGAGATCGCACTGGGACTCTTCATAGTCCAAAGTCTGTTTTGCTCTGGCAGCCTTGAGTGCCATGCATGGCACACATACCATAGGTTGCTGACCCCTGTACTCGATCATGTGCTGCTTTTGACTTAATAATTTCCATGGTATGTTTGAAGAATTTCTTGTGGGTGCTGTTGCATTTCATGATTCTGTAAACTTAACCAAAGCTATCCTTTATTTCTCACAGATGGAAAGTCAGAAGTTTTTAGCTGAAAATAGTGCATCTGTGTATATAAAGAAAGTAGAGGCAAGAATAAATGAAGAAATAGAACGTGTGATGCACTGTTTAGACAAATCAACAGAAGAGCCCATTGTGAAAGTTGTGGAGCGGGAGCTCATATCCAAGCATATGAAGACTATAGTTGAGATGGAGAACTCTGGCTTAGTCCATATGCTGAAAAACGGAAAGACTGAAGGTATAATCCTCAACTTGGGAACTTTGTACAGCACTGTGTATGGAAGACTGCTTATGTTTAATGTTTTAATGGGTTTCTATAGTGTTAGGAATGCAAATCTGTATTCCTAACACTATTGTGCCCTCTGGTCCCCCAGCATGTAAAGGGTTAAACCCTTTACTTACCCAATTCCAGTGCTGATGTCCCTCAGCACTCCGCCTCATTCGATGCGCGCCGAGCCGCCCCTAGGACATTATATCCTCCACATAGAAAAGCATTGTCGCAATGCTTTCCTCTGGATATCCTCATTCAGAGTGTGAGGACGTCCCGCATCATTTAGGGGACATAGTCTATTAGCATCCAGGAAGTGTCACTAGTGGCTGGCTGACCACAGGAAATGGAGCACACTTTGCTCCTCCGCTTGTCATAGATGGTCAGGTGTAGGAAACCTCCACAAGACAAAGTAAATCCCTACTTTGTCTTCTGTTTTAAAGAAAGCTAGAGCAGACAGGAAGAAATGAACAGAGAATGAGAGAGGAAGCGATTGGGGAAAGGTAAGTTCGGCATGACAGTGCTGCTTTAATCATTTTGAAACATGATCCTTAAAGATCCTGATTGTTATGACATTGACAATCACTGTTTCTTAAGGGATTAAAAATGCTTTTAGTTGTTATATTCATTACAAATGTAACTTCCATAACTATGTAAAGGAAACATTTATGATGTGGTAGTAAGCTATGAATTATAACTTTTTGATTTTCGTTGAACTACTTATAGGGGAGGGGGGACTGCTCTTAAGGGTTGATCGCTCCAAAAAAAGCAATTTAGGTACATTCAGTAGTTCTACAGGATGTCACTGAAACCCACCCAACACTTCCACACCTTGGGAATTTGAGATGGCAAATGTTAGCAGTTATTCCATTTAATAAATATTCTTCTACACCCTGTTGTTCACCTGTCCCATTCCATCTTACTCTTCTATTAGTAAATAAAAAAAGCTTTCCAGATCTTTATACAAGCAACAAAATACAAATTAGATGTTTGTTGGAAGGAGAAACTTGCTTAAAATAACTGAATGAATTACTTTTCTGTATATTATATCTTTTTAGTTGCCACGGGTATATGACAGTTTCTTTTGGAATGGATAAAAGGGTTGATTAGATTATCTTACATGTATGTTTTGTAAGTCACATTCTTTAAGACTTTATTTGTACTTTTTTTTTTTCTTAATTCCATGTTTGTCTTCACAGATCTGGCTTGCATGTACAAGTTGTTTAGCAGAGTTCCAAATGGTTTGAAGACTATGTGTGAGTGTATGAGCTTGTATCTTAGAGAACAAGGCAAAGCTCTCGTTTCTGAAGAGGGAGAAGGGAAGAACCCAGTCGATTATATTCAGGTATTTATAAGAATATATCACTTCAGATTACTCTTATTTTTAATATACTGTATTTTCCGGCGTATAAGACGACCCCCAACTTTTCCAGTTAAAATATAGAGTTTGGGATATACTCGCCGTATAAGACTACCCCTCTTCCAATGCACACCAAATAAAAATTAGCTATGATGTACAGTGAGCAGACAGAGCTACACAGCAAGATATTGAATAATGATAATCTGAAATAGCATTTAAAGCCCAGGTATGTGCCAGGCTGTTTTGGCATATAATCCATGCCTGCTGTTCTAGCACACAGGAGGCTAATTGTGATATATTCTTTTTACTCCCACCCCCCCTCCATTCTTTTTACTCCAAAAATCCTCCCTACATTCTTCTCACCTCCCCTTCCCTGTGCAGAGTGGGTGGCCTGAATCTCCTGTACCGCGCGGTACCTGGCCGGACTGACAGGACGAAGAGGAGCTCAGCCACACCCACTCTGCACAGGGAAGGGGAGGTGAGAAGAGAGGCATTGCGGCAGCCATGTAGTCCCTATACCCGGCGTATAAGACGACCCCTGACTTTGGAGAAGATTTTCCAGGGTTCCTACAGTACATCTAGAACAGGACAAAATCTACCTGTGCTTGTAGAATGTTTACTTTCATAAAGGGTTTGTTCCACCTGCTTGCATTCTCTTAGCCTTTCATATTAACATTTCACAGCTTTCTAGAGGTAATGAGCTAATGGTTACATTAACACAAAAACTGAAGTTACATTCCTGTGCCTTTTATTATTCCAGAAGTAACCAGGTTTATTTCACTACCTTGTTATTAGCAGACCAGCTCTCCTTCTATGTATATTTAAGGATATCATTGATTCAGGTTGATGTGCGTAGGCTAAGTGATTTTCCCAGGACTGTTCTAGAAGTGTGTATGGTAATTGCTGAAGAACTGCAAGGTTCAGAGATATAGGAATTCTATTTGTCTAGATCTTGAGATCTGTCAAATTATATATTCACTTCAAACATGCTGTGTAGGCACACCATAATGGTAAATTGGAAGTAGTGGAGCTTTACAATTTAATAAGGATATTTATAGGTGCTTTTTAAAAGGTGGGGAAACGGTTTTAAGTGAACCTAGCATTCAGACATTCAGATTTTTCTGTATGTTGGCCATATTACTAGAATATCTGTTTGTCCCCTTTCTGATTTTGTACATTGAGCATGCACTCCCACCCCCCTTCCTTAGTAGATTTTATGTGGATAGCACATGTAAAGAAAACTGTGTATAACATTCCTGTGCTACTTGGGATGTGTTTAATTATTTATTTGTTTATTCATTGCAAGAGCTTGTGTAACAAACATCAAATATGTGAAAATCTTTTAATTGTATTCTCCAATCCTGTGTGGCAAAGTGTATCTGTTTTATGTAAACAAATTGCAAAATATGCAGAGATTGCAAAAGGTGACAGAGTAGTTATAAATCTTGTAAAGATCAGTTGGTGACTGCTTAGCTTGCAGGAGCTTGAGTAGCAGGAGAAGGTTTTTTTTTTTTTTTTTTTTTAACCCGGACCTGTCCCTTGCAGACACTTTCATCTTCTTCTGCAAAGTCCTTAAGCTCCTGTTGTTTTATCTGCCAGGAGCCGATGGCCATGCTCTCAAGTATAGCACTGATGTCAATGGAGGATCCTGCAAAACAGAGCCCTTTTCCATTCAGCTAACACTAGTGGCGGCTGAGTGTTTGTAAGCGGTAGCTCTGCCTTTCTTTGTCAAGCATAGGAAAATACATAAGACAAAACCTTCAAGTAGACGTCCAGTGATTTTCATTGTGTGTGTATATGTTTATACCTTTTTGTTGTGGGAGTTATTTTTATCTGTATTAGAATGCTTATATTTGACTCTTTCACTATTTACTCAATCCCAAGGGACTGCTCGATCTGAAAAGCCGCTTTGACCGTTTTCTCCAAGAATCCTTCAACAATGACCGCCTGTTTAAGCAAACCATTGCTGGCGATTTTGAGTATTTCCTAAATCTAAATTCCAGGTCTCCCGAGTACCTTTCCCTATTTATCGATGACAAGCTTAAAAAGGGAGTCAAAGGAGTAAGTATTCCAGCCAGGGTCTGGTTTAGGTACCATCTGAATCTTTTATTTTTCTTTAAAGGAGCACTGTCGATTAACTGGAAAATGCTAAAGTTTTACCTTAAAATATTGTGTTCTCTGTGGGTTTGATGATGTATAGTGCAGAGCCGCCATAATTTTAAAGGGGTTACGCTAGTTGCAAGTTGTGGTACATTGAGTGTCCCTTACCAGTCCATCAGACAGAAGCAGCAAGACACAATTTGAGTATGTTTATTTTACTTTCCCTTTTTTATGGGACTCCACCATTTGCTTGCATAACTTACAGCCTTTAAAATTAACATATTTCTAGGTTTTATACACAGCTTTCTAGATATATTTAACAGAATCTACATTCCTACATCTTTCATTAGTTCAGAAGTATCCATTTGTGTTTATTTCACGACTTGGCCATCTTCAAATGAGCTCTGTGCTTGTAGACTGATGTCCCCAATTGTGGCTGGCACACGAAGGCTGAGCAGATTCGTTAACTTATTTTGCCGGGACTGTAAAATACATGTAAATAGTAATTGCTGTGGAACCATAAATGTTAAAGGTTAGAATATTATTTATCTGGCATATATGAACAGCTAAGAAAATGTATTAATGTTAAACCTAGCATTTTTAAAATGTCTTTTCAAGGAGGATTGCAGATAATTTTGCTTGACAGCTGCAAGAGGCATAAGCTCTGCCCATTGTTAAGTTTTGTCAAACTGCTACAGGAAAAGTGGTCTCTTCTTTACAATAAGTGGGATTAAGGGACAGAGATCTAGATAGAAGCAGAAGTTAGAAAGTTCATTTTTGGTGACAGAGCTAATTTAATTAAGCAGTTCTGTCTTCTAGGTTGCCCAACCCCTTTCCAGGCTTATAACTGAACCAGGTTAAACCAATTGTTTAGACCTTATACCAAATGTCTAGCAAGTAAAGTGTGCAAAGGAACTATAGCGCATTATTTTCAAAACTGTGTATTGACAATCAAATCCTGCAAGTTGAGTCAAAATAGAGAATACTCATATATTCTAACTATGATGCCCTCCTCCTTCTATCAAACGTGTAATTTGGTTTTGATGTATTCACAACTACCATTCAGTAAATTCTTTAATCTACAGGGCAGCACGGTTTTCTGTTGTAAATTTCACGTTTTCTTTTTTTCCTTAAGTTGACGGAACAAGAGGTAGAGTCTATTCTGGATAAGGCAATGGTCCTTTTCAGATTCATGCAAGAAAAAGATGTTTTTGAACGATATTACAAGCAACATTTGGCCAGAAGGCTGCTTACAAATAAAAGTGTCTCTGATGACTCTGAAAAAAATATGATCTCAAAGTTGAAGGTAAGATCCGAATAAACCATTTTCATAAAATGCTTACTTTTTTTATTCCAGTGTCAGATATATATTTTCTTCATGATTTGCAAGGCCTTAACGACACCACCTCTGTATAGAATTGTGTCATGAATTAAACATGCTGAACATTTTACATGTGTTCCTTAATTACAGGTAGAGGAAGCGGTTCTCTAGTGATCTAGAATCAGGCCACTGTTTTCAGCCTACCAATGGTTTAGCCATGTGATTTTGGATGAGCTAGAACAATGATCACATGACTTCAAACATTGTTTATGAGGGTCTCCATGTTGCTTTCTCGTTCAATTGCAAGAAAATATATATATTTTTTTATTTTTTTTAATATCAATTATAGTTGTATTGTGTTCTTGGCTTCTTATATGATGCTAGTTAACAATAGTTTTTTTGAATTTATTAGTACATTAAATTCACTTTGAATTTTATTTTTGCATAATTAAAGTGACAGTCTCACTGCACCTTTTTGCAGCATTCATCTAATTTACTGTATTTTCAGTTAAAGTACTGGCACCAGAACATGGATGCAGATTGTGAAGTGACGTGTGCCTCAAATGGCTTTATCTGCATTTTTCTTTTTACTATCAAAAACTGAATAAGTGTTGCTTATCTGGGCTTTCAAAGCTGGACTCTGCATTGCAGACATCTAGGAACTACTGATAGTAAGGTTTGTTTTCTGTAGCTTAAAGGAGCACTATAGGGTAAGGAACACAAACGTGTATTCCTGACCCTATAAGGTTAAAACCACCATCTAGCACCCCTGTCCCTGTCATGCCTCCCTAAATATAGTACAATCTTACTGTATTCAAGTCTTCAGCTGCTTACTTTGTCCCGGTTTCCTTTAGACCTGCCTGCTGACATTAGCAGAAGTGGTAGCCTGATCCAATCACAATGCTTCCCCATAGGATTGGTTGAGACTGGCATAGAGGAAGATCAGGGGCAAAGCCAGCACAATTCAAACACAGCCCTGGCCAATCAGCATCTCCACATAGAGATGCATTGAATCAGTGCATCTCTGAGGAAAGTTCATTGTCTGCATGCAGAGAGTGGAGACACTGAATGTTTTGATGCATTTTAGGCAGCCATGATCCAGGAAGGATCTCTAATAGCCATCGAAGGAGTGGCTAGTGAAGTTATTACTAGGCTGTAAAGTAAACACTGCATTTTCTCTAAAAAGACTGTGTTTACAGCAAAAAGCCTGAAGGTAATGATTCTACTCACCAGAACAAATTCAATAAGCTGTAGTTGTTCTGGTGACTATATTGTCCTTTTAAAGTAATCTGGTAGATACTAAAAGGGTCTCAAAAAAATGTCTGTCTGCTGTGTTGTTGGTGTTCTATGATTGTCACTACAGTTAGGATCCTCTTTGACTGCTAACTGTACATGTAAAAGATGCATAATTGGCAAACATATCATACCTTTTATTCATTCTTGTATCTCTGGCATTATATGATTTGGTAATACAGCAGCATTTAAGTTCATAAAACCGTGTCAGTTTAAAAAAATTTTTTTTTTTTTTTTTCATTTGTATCTTGTTTTTTTTTTAAATGGCAGGTTGAAACGTGTATTCTCTTCTGGATGTGTTCTCATTAATGGACTTAAGAAAGCTGTGCTGTTTTTTGAAGGGAATTTTTTTTATTTTTTTTTTTAAATTATTTTTGTGGCAAGTGTATGTATGGTCCATCAATAAACTTTTTTAGGGCTGTTTTATATACACTGTGATTGTGAAACATACCAAGTCAAAACTATATTTTGACTCTCCAGTATGTGCTGTAATTCCAAAATCCATACTTCTAGATTCTTATTTAAAGGGACACTATAGTCACCAGAACCACTACAGCTTAATGTAGTAGTTCTGGTATCTATATAGCATGTCCCTGCCGGTGTTTCATTGCTGCCTGTTAACTCCTCTATTGTCAGTCACTCAGGCTGCCACTAGAGTTCCTTCCTATCTTTTTGCTGCACTGTGTGCAAAATTTACGTTCAGTGTTAGGAAAGCACTGGATTGGCTAAAATTATAAAGATTGATCTCCGCCATGAAGGTTAGGCCTGCCGAGGTGAGACCTGTGTGGTGGTGGAGGAAAGCATAAGTTTAAAATACTTTTTACCCATGTAGAGGGGGCCAGTCACTTAAAAATCTATTCCAGGATTACTGTGTTAGAAATACATGTTTGTAGTTCTAACATTATGTAGGGTTCCTTTAATTTATTCTTCAGTGTAGATGATTGTGGAGATAAATTGGATTATGTTTCTGCAGAATAACAATGTTTTCACTTGCAAGGTCTAAACTAGAGGTACATAGCACTGAGACCACTTCACTGAGCTGAAGTGTTCTGGGTGCCCATAGTTCCTGTAATAAAATGAGGCCAGGATTTTGATGTAAATGTGTCCGTTAAGGAATGTGAAAAAAAAAAAAAAAGTCTAGTAACCCAACCCACTTATCCCTCATGACACGCTACTTGTCCTGACCCACAAAATAATTTTAATTAGAAATATTTGGGCCACTGCATCTCTCCCACTGTCCTTTTTTTCAATTTATATTATATTAGCTTTGTACAGAAATTATACAACTTTTCCATTTTCTGGGATTTGCATAAGAAAAACAGGGCATTACATTGGATACGGGTATGGGTACATGAGCCAAGTGGTATATCGTGGTGTGAAACATATGGGGAAACCAGCATGGTGTTTGCCATTATGCACAGTGAAGATCATCCATAGAGCTCCAGTGAGGCCCCAGTGGTGGTACGGGCAGACCACTGGGAAAGTCTGTACGGGTTAAAGAATTAAGATTTGGGCTCTGGTAGGAAATCTGATTGCTGGGGTGGAGGATACCCTGCGAATTGAGGTTGCACTTGGTCCCCTGCTGTGTTTGTCTGCTACCTCCTCGTCTGACATCTGTCTGTCGCTCTGCGGTTTGCGCTGTTGGTGACGGTTGTGCTCCCTCCAACAGCCTGAGTGTGCGGAGGAATGTGTGTCATCAGTAGAGGTGAGTGTATGTGATGTGTCTCCACTCGAGACCAGCAAAGATCCCTCTGCTCCCCATCAGTATTTTATGGAGTTGTCTCGTAATCTCTTGACGATAGGGGCCAGCCTCCTCTTCTCCGCAAGGATGGAGAAGGGAAGATCTCGGTATAGCGTGATCCGTTGGTCCTCCAGGGTTACAGTGCCCAACTCTCTGGAACAATTTAAGATGGCAGTTTTTGACGTTATTTCTCTTGTAACTGCTATTGCGTCTCTTGGTGCTGCCGCAGTGGCAGATTTCCGCACGCGGAACACAGAGGTTATGCATGGCGGTTCAGAGCTCTCTAAGGCCCACCCTTAGCACAAATGTCACCTTCACCCACAGTCTCTGGCACCCCTCTGAATCTAATGTTTTGGCCGGGTTTACAGAGACACCCCTGTCTTTGTCAATAGTTGTACCTAATCTGTGAGGCCTCCCTCTCCTCCTGTACCTTCTTATGCAAAGTGCCAATTTCGGCCTGGGTCTTAAAGCCAGACGTGTCCCAGATCAACGAGCAGCCTCTTTTTATATATCCCCTTCGTGGAAGGTAAGGAGTCATCATCTGACTCAGAAGAATTGCATGCTTCACCTGGACAGGGAGAGGTAAGAGATTTCTCCTCCTCATTGGAGTCTTCTGAGATCTCTGGGGTGCTCTGAGCCTTGGGTGCCATTTTGGATTGTGGTGTCGGTGCAGGCCCCCCAAAGGAGAGCCTGATGTCGGGAAGTTTGACCATCTCTGGGTGTTGGTGTCGCTTGTGCTTGCCCCCCATATTGTCCTCTGTGGGGTGCTTCTTGAAAGTGGTCTCTGGGTTATTTTTGACCAAATTGCCTCTGGTGTGTGAGGTCGGAACGGAGCCCCACAGAATGCGTCTTGTCTGCTTCACGGTCGGCCATGCCCCCATATCTGTAGCATTTTAAGTGATCAAATGCCATTTTTAAATCTGCAGTTTCCAAATTGACATTTAAGTTTATTTGTTTATTGAAAATATTTCATGTAATTATGGAAAATCATAGAAAATTATTAGTGTGAGGAATCCATTTATGTATGTCTTATTAAAGTATGTGGAAAGTGGTGCAGGTTTCATGTTGGTGATTTTTTTTTTTTAATTTTTTTGCAGACAGAGTGTGGGTGTCAGTTCACATCAAAGCTGGAAGGAATGTTCAGAGATATGAGCATCTCAAACACCACTATGGATGAATTCAGGCAACATTTGCAAACTACTGGGGTGAGATTTACTTCAATGTTTGGACTTTTACTTCATGCATTTGTGACTGAAGTTCAAAGTGCTTGCTCCTTAAATTGTCATGTTCCTCTTGCAAACTCTTTGCAACTTGTCACTGATACCTGTTTCTCTGACTTTTGCATTCCAGGTGTCTTTAGGCGGAGTTGATCTCACAGTCAGAGTGCTTACCACTGGCTATTGGCCTACACAATCAGCCACACCAAAGTGCAATATCCCACCAGCTCCCAGACATGCTTTTGAAATATTTAGAAGGTAAAATCTTAAAACAAACCACAATTTAAAGTGTAATAAAACTGCCCTTTTCTTTAAGATTTTGTTGTGTTTTTTTTTAATTTTATTTGTTTTTTTTTTATGAATAGACGTGTGTTTACCTTGGTTTTAATTTTTAGTTGAGTTGCATGATCCAAACTTTCTTCTTTAAAAAAAACCCCACTGTTTTTGTTTTTGTTTTGTCATGGCTCCAGTTGCCAATATTATGGCATCCAACAGATGGACACGAAAGATAAATTAATAAAGTGGGTAATGGGACTTGTATAACTACATCTCCTGTGGACATTTTAACTTCAGAGCATACAAATACACCTAACTGCAAATTATCCAGTAGTGAATTATTAAAAAATTTAATGTTTTTTTTTTTTCTTCAGGTTTTATCTTGCTAAACACAGTGGTCGACAGCTCACATTGCAGCATCATATGGGCTCTGCAGATCTTAATGCCACATTTTATGGACCTGTAAAAAAAGTAAATATGTGCTACATGTTTTTTTGATTAGTCTTTAATCATTATTAGTTCAGTTGAGGGGAATACAGAATATTTCTCGTGAGACTGACTGTTCAAATATAATTGTTGTTCAAATATAACAATGTAAAATAAATGCAAGGTTCATAAAGCAATAAAAGGTTGTGTGCTATGTTAAAGGACCGCTATAGTCACCCAGACCACTCCAGCTCAATGAAGTGGTCTGGGTGCCAGATCCCCCAGGTTTTAACCCTGTAGCTGTAAACATAGCAGTTTCAGAGAAACTGCTCTGTTTACATTGCAGGGTTAATCCAGATTCTAGTGGCTGTCTATCTGACAGCCGCTAGAGGTGCTTCCGCAACACTCAATGCGAAAATCGCATTGAGCATGCAGAACATCCATAGGAAAGCATTGAGTAATGCTTTCCTATGGTCGGTTTGTATGCGCGAGCGGCTCTGGCTGCTCATTTTGCTCCAGTTGGAGGGGGAGGAGAGGTCACCAGCGCTGAGGGATCCTGGCGCTGCACCCTTCAGCCCATTGGGTGTGGGGACCTAAGGACTATATAGTGCCAGGAAAGCAAGTTTATTTTCCTGGCACTATAGTGGTTCTTTAACACAAATATCACTCTAAATGCTGCAAACTTTTTTTTTTTTTCTTTTTTTTTTTTTTTAACAATCTTTATTTAAAGTGGTTTTTGACCCCAAAAAATTAAATGGTAACTGGACAGGAGGCCTACTACAGCCATAATAGTACAATAGTATTCCTACTCACAAATCACACCAATAGTGGGCGTAGATGTAGTAAGCAAACCTTTTTATGTACCAGTCAATATGCATAAACAATATATAAATCAAAAATATATAAAGAAATGCTGTTGATATAATTATTAATTAGTAGTATGGTGACCAGGTGTTGCAGTACCCTATGCATCTTTCGCCACACCTCCTCAATGGGAAGTCAATTATCAGGATCATATTTTCTATATAGATATATAACGTTATACTGGAGCCTCCCAATCTGTCCTTTTTTCTTAGAGTGGAAATCCATGCTTGAAGAGCAAAAACCCAAGCAGTAACATAATTAGAACCTCTTTGGCATTCAAATTTAAATGTGTGAATGTAGGAAATCTTTCCAATGCATCTACCAAAAATAAGTTTGATCAAACCTAATTTATGTTGTTTTTTTGTTTTGGTTGGTTGTTTTTTGGTTCAAATTTTTCCACAAATTGAGGGTGAAAATACTTTTTCGCCTTTGATTAGGCAACTGTTATCCCATATATTACTATTGCATCCTTGAATCTTCTGGTTGTATCAATTATAGTGGTTTATGAAAAAAAAAGTTTCATTTGGGAGCTATGGCCCATGTTGAACCACAGCTTTGAAAAATTGTGCAACAAGTTCAGGTTATATTTTACTCTTACATCTTGTTGTACCAGGAGGATGGCTCGGAAGTTGGTGTTGGAGGAGCTCAGGTCACTGGCTCGAACACACGGAAACACATTTTGCAAGTGTCAACCTTCCAGATGACGATATTAATGCTCTTCAACAACAGAGAAAAATATACTTTTGAGGTATGGTGGGTCAGGTCATTTTTTGATGTCCCTCCATAATTGTATTTTTGAAAGCATACTTTTTTTAAAGATGAGCACTGACTAAATCTGTGTGTATTTATTAATCGGGGATTGTGTTTGTATGTGTGTGTGTTACTGTAGAATTGTATCATTAACCTTTTTTTTGTCTCTTCTTTTAACTGCTGTGAATTTAAGGTTTCATAAACTTACTAGCTATGATGGGAAATCTCTAGGCTGTAACGCTTTCTATTCTAGCATTGTGTGAAATTAAATAAATAAATGTGCTGCGAAGTAAAAATCGTTATAATTTGGATTTTTCTACAGGAAATACAACAAGAGACAGACATACCAGAACGAGAACTTGTGAGAGCTTTGCAGTCTCTGGCCTGTGGTAAACCCACTCAGCGGGTTCTCACAAAGGAGCCCAAGTCAAAAGAAATAGAGAGCGGTCACATGTTCACAGTCAATGATCAGTTCACTTCCAAATTACACAGAGTTAAGATTCAGACAGGTATGTAATGACAGAATATCCTAATACTTTCTTGACCATTTCAGTCTGTTTTAAGCTTTCCTTATGTGGGATAGAATTATATGAAGCGACCCAACTTGTATCTTGCATAATATATCTAAAAATATAACCTACAATATACAAATATAATAATCTCCAGCCTCTGTGCTGGTCCAGCTCACACACAGTGTTTCAAAAAAGAGAGCACTCACTGGTCTTGTGTAAGTATATACAATTTAGCCTTTTTAGTAAATGTAATAAAGTAAAATATTAATGTTTCATTCCATAAGGACTTTTCTCAAGACACTGTTCACCATGATATTTGCTGAAGTACAACATCTCACCATAAAAATGAGGGTGACGCCACCCCAGAACAAAGTGAAAAAAAGTTCAAGGAATATTGGTATAGAGAATTTTTACACCTGTGGAAGCCAGAACAAAATCTAAAATGGAGGATTTCAATTTTTCAGATTTTCTATCCCTGCCAGTGTGTATTTTACACATATAGGGGTTGTCATAACACCATCAAACCATTTTGCAATTGGATCAAATAATCAGTTTTTCACCGAGACTATTGGATGCTCTCAAGGTCTGTCTCTCTCCCCCCTCTTTTCCCCTACTCTCTTTCCCCTCCTCTCTCTTTCCCCTCCTCTCTCTTTCCCCTCCTCTCTCTTTCCCCTCCTCTCTCTTTCCCCTATAAGATTTGGATATACTTGCCCGGGGCTTGTCAAGCAAAATATAAAAAGGAATCCAGATAGCACTCTCAGGACTGTTAAATCAAATAAAACTTAGCTTTTAATGAGCTTGTAAAAAAGAATCAACGTTTTAGTCTGTTAAACACAGACTTTCATCAGGACTCGGATAAAGATTTGTATTCTTAAGTGCATTAATATCATAATGTTTATCATTAATATATTAAGAATAGTCCTTTTACAGAACTGACTCAGAAATATGAATGTTTCATCATTTAATTAAATCAGTGCTATATGCAGCTGATAATATTAGTCATTATATGCATTAAGGTCCTTTTAAAGTGATGAAATTTAATTATTCCATAAGGGGATAATTGTATTGCCATTTTGCTTATTTGGGTTACATGGTCATTTTGCAGTGGCTGCCAAACAAGGAGAATCTGACCCTGAGCGAAAAGAGACCCGACAGAAAGTGGATGATGACCGAAAGCATGAAATAGAAGCTGCTATTGTTCGGATTATGAAGTCTAGAAAGAAAATGCAGCACAACGTACTAGTAGCAGAGGTAATGGACTTGCATTAACCTCAACTTGAATGACTTTGACAAATGTTTTAAATTCAAATGCTTGTTTTAGTCTCTGGATCGACTGAGAGAAGAAAATGTTTCCATCTATAATGTGCATTATATGTTAGACATATACACTCATTTCACTTTCAATGTCTGCTAGCTTACACAGAAGTCCTCTTATGCAAAGTATTTTTAATCAAAAAAGTTAATGTAGAATATATTAAAATCCACCTTTTCTTGAAGCAAACCAGTATGCACCAAATACAATCTTTAGTTTTTGGGTTGTGTTTTTTTTTGTTTTTTTTTTTAGTATAGTGGCACCCTAGATGTTTGAGAGACAAGCTTCCTCCCCATGATTAGAAGGAAATAATTAGCCTTTTCTATTAAATTCTTTTTCATTCTGTTCTCAAATTAGTTTAAAAAAATATATACTTGTCCAATATACCTTCGACAGTTGAATTTTACTTTATTTACCCCAGTTTTATTACAATCTTACATTTTTATAATTGTAGTTGTTTTGTTGTGGCAATGGCGTTTATAACAGTGGTTTAAAATGATTTTTCTTTTTGTTATTTTAGGTAACACAGCAGCTGAAAGCCCGATTCCTTCCAAGTCCAGTTGTTATTAAAAAGCGTATTGAAGGACTTATTGAGCGAGAATATTTAGCGAGAACACCTGAAGATCGCAAAGTATACACCTATGTAGCATAGAAATTGCGTCCTGCTAATTGATTTATTCTTGGACTTCATACCCCTTCGCATGAACTGGGAAGTTCTTTTAAATCATTATGCGTTTGCGAACGCCATCTCCTACTAAATTACAGTACGTATTCTAGAACGTGCACAACAAGCCTACAAGAAATTTCAACATTGGTATCGCTTGGGGCCTTTCAACCATTACTTTTGTAGATATCATTTACACAGTTCTTATGGGGATTGTTAACATGCAGGTTTTTTTTTCTCCTCTCTCAATACTGTACTGAAAGAACAAACACCAAAAAAATAAAAAATTTAGAAAAATGTCAAGTCAATAAAATTGTTGGGATTTTACTCCCTACTCCCAAATTTTAGTGATGGTGTACGTCTATTTATGTAGATATGATAGAGATTTATTTTATTTGAGAAAAAATGAATTTGTGGGTGGGGTTGGAAAGTACCCTGCTTTTTCCCCCCTTTAATATTGCTTATCTTGCGGTAATTAAAGATTTAAAACTACAGTATCATCCATACTATGACAGATTGGTCTACCATTGTTTGGGATTCTTGTAGAAAATGGTTCAGTAAGTGACTTGTTAAGAAAGAATACAGTTCAATGATGCATTGTATCTTGCTGTGGCTGTCATGCTTATAATGGACCTGCCAGTGTTAAAGGGTATAGTTTGATACTAAATATAATTAATTAAAGACTTCAGTTTGTTAAACAAAAAAATCCAACCAATTCAGAAGGAAGAGAACGTCTCCACACTCCTCCTGGGACCTGCTAAAGTGGGTGTGTTCCATAATCTGTTAAAACTTTGCTGTGTTAGTTTTACTCCCAGATACTACTACACAGATAACACAGATATCTGATCTCTGTTATTAAGATTGATATTTTTTTTCTTTTTTTTTTCTGTGAAATACAGTGTTTCCATTATGATGCCAGCCTGTCTTTTCGGTTTAGTTACCAAATTGAGGTGAATTTAGGGAATATACTTATAGCGGATCCGTCATACTTTGGGGGTCTTTACATATTTGGCATCCCTGAGGGTAACTTCTCAGATTAGGGTATGGTGGCCATGGGGTGCAGTGGAAAAGTAGGTTTACTTACTTGAAGCAGTCACTCATGGCCACCATTTTCCTCCTGCAAACCTTTCTTGGCTCCTGGCAACTCATCTGCCAAGAGCTGCATTTTTGAGCATGCGTGAGAGCACAACACTGAGGTCTGTGTAGGATGCCTTGAGTCTGCGGAAGCCTCAATATGTTATGTCTCACAATGAATGAGACTATGCCTGGATCCCACTCTGTCGTATGGGCAAGCCTTAGGTTGACAAAAGGCAACGTAGTCTTTACTTTGTCTTATGGTATCTTTGTATTGTGTTGGACTATCATTGAAATTCCAACATAGTCAGCATAAGTATTTTGCAAAGATTATACTGTTATGAAATACACAGCCAAGCCGCTTTTATAAAGTCATATTTTCCTACTCTCTTTTTTTTTTTTTTTTTTTTTTTTTTTACTTTTGCAATTTGGCCATTTTCTCACTATGAAAAACAAAAATTTAAATGGTGTTTCCCTTTTCCTTTTTTTTTTCTGCCTCCCTTTCCATCATGTGATCCAGGTTTTTTGTTTGTTCCATCATTTGGTACTATGGTATAACCATACTTTTTTATCTACGCTGCAGTCATGCATGTTGATCTCTTACGTGAAATAAAAAGTAATATATGTATATAAAAATATATTTTTCTTTCCCTTTTTATATTTAAGTGAAAATCCTAATTTTAACTAGAGTACTGTTAATTGACGCCATGTCACAAACTCATTAATTGCAATTTTCTTTCAGATTAAAGTTTAATGTACAATACTATACCAGTTTACTGTTAAATAGGCATATTACCTCAACAAGGGTCTTAGGAAGATGTGTCAGCAGACCATTAATGCCAATGAAGTTCAATTTCTCTGGAGATTGTCCTCTAAAAGTTTGGGAGAGGCAAAAAGTCATTTTATTTCTGTTAGCATTTTGTAAATATCTTCCTTGTTAATATATGTGTGGACTTCCCTGTATGCTTATGCATTTATGCTGAACAATTGCAATAAATAAGATCTTTTATCTTCCATGTTTACATAATGTTGGAACATATTCAAGTACAGATTTATTTCACTAGATATGTACTTTAGTGGAATTTGTTCTTGCATAACCAAGGTATACTGGTATTTTGTTTTCACAGTGGTGCCCTGCCTTGGTTCTCCAGCTGTTGTTGGACTATAGTTCCCATAATTTTCTACAAAGTAGCAGGTAGCGAAATGCAGTCAAACAATAGGTGGAAGCAAGGGTTGGGTTTCCATGTTTGACAGAGTAAATATCGGTCACTGAATTTTTTTTACTTTTTTTTTTTTTTTTTTAAACTCTCAATAATGAAAATTAAATGCTGAAAAGGATTTGTATTCATCACCTCCCTTCAAACAAGACTACAATGCAAGCCATCTTTAGTAGACAATTGGTCTACTCCATATTGTTAGTTATTCATGAAGCACAATTATACATATACAGTACATCACAAAGTTTTTGCTTCCTGTTGGGTTGTGGTGAAGCTACTATTGTCTTGCAAATTAATTCTATTCTCCAAAGAAAACCTCTCAAAACGGCACCACTGCGTGGGAATAGTCACTGAAATTAACTGAAAGCCGCACCCATCATAGCATTTAAATGAATTTTTCTCTCGAAAGCTTGTTCTTCCTCTTTTGTGGTCCTAAACACTGAAACGCAAACATATGCATGCTAAAATTTGTATAATACAGAGGACATTTCATCTGCTTTCCCTTCTAGTAGTCTGATTTGCTCTTCAGCGATAACCATGGGTTCTTCGAACAGTTTTGTCTTGGTGATCCTCATACGTACCCATGGTCTTTCTTTCAGCATTGACAAATATGTGAAGTACAAAATCATGTAAACAATTTGTGCTTTATGCAACTGTTGTGCACTGTAAGTGAATAGAATTAATGCCAAATATAGAATTCAGGTATAAGTTATTGGACCCAGTGGTCATCAATTGGCAGAATGTGGCTTTTTTTAGCTGAACATACATCTATTGTTCAGAACGCGGATTGTAATTACTTCTGTTCTAGTCTCTCTGTCATTAATAATGTTACTTTTCTCATTTAAATCCAGCTACCTTTATTTTGTCATGGATCAGGTTTTTATATAGCCTTAAAAAAAATTGGAAAAATAAACGTGATAATAAAGTTACACTATGTGAACTGTGAACAAATTTTAAGTTTATTTTTCACTAGAAATGTACTAATTTCTCACTTTAAGTCTGTTTCAATTTCAAAGTCATGTACTTAAATGAGTCATCCAGACACCATAACAAATTCATGTTGGAGTTTCTCATCTTACCCTTAAGCATGTAAATAATTTCTTGAATTTGGTTTAACAATCAAAATGTGTCCCCAGGCTCAAGTCTGCAGCTCGCATTTTCTGCTCTTGTCTAATGTGGACGTTTTAGAGTGAGCAGGGAGGACTTGGATTAGAGTGTCAGCTAAAGCCCTGTGTGGCTCACTGGCTGCCAATCTGGAATAAAGCATAAATAAGTATATTTTATGGCAATAAAAGTGTCAGCTGAGTCTCTAATGCTTCCACATTATTCCAGAGGAGGAGAAGGAGACACTAATACCTGGGAGCATATGATGGTTAACAGTTAAGAGAACATATAGGCACCATGCCACCTCAATCTTGTTTTTTTTTTTTTTTCGTACCTATATCAATCACAAGTTTGGTTTAATAGGAATTGGATATCACTGGTTTGTAGAAGACTATTTTCTTGTAGATTTTACAGGAAGACGGATGACCCATTTATTTGTTGTAGTGAAAAAGAGTATGATGTTGGAAGTGTTCTGCTTACAAAGAAGTTTCTATTCACCGGGCGTTAGTGAAGTGAACATCTGAGTTTAATCGCTAGCCCATTTTAGTTCTGTAATGATTGGTAGTATAATAGACATACAAACTGATCAATACAGACTGCTTATTTCACAGAGATGCATTTGTGCTGCAGATGCATATAAATCCCTAAAGTCAAATAGCTTCCCTTAGCGGAGTTTCCTCTACCCTTTTGTAATTGTTTCTGAACACCCAACTTTGTTACAATGGTAACAGTAAAATGAATTGCATCCTTGTGAGTCAGTAAAAGGATTCTTCATATATACCAATATGGACACTCTGAAGGCAAAAGCACAGACGCAGAGCCTAATCAGGCCGATATGCAACCTTAAATATAAATGAGCACTTTGTAGGTCCTGAACTTCTCAGCACTCAAATGTGAGTTTACAACATTTTATCTTGGTAAACAAAAATATCACATATGGCTTTTTATGCATGGGGTCTCCAGGACAAGTTGACACTGAAATTTCCCAAGATGCACTAGGTCTGAGAGATAATTACCAGATTTTACTATTAACATGAAGTAAAGTCATGATTTTATTAATGACAGGGAGGAGAGTATTATGCATTCTCTTTCTTTATTCTACCTCCAGCAGCAAGAAAAGGAAGTATGAGAGAATCATAAAAAAAAAAAAAAAACTTAATAGCCTGGTAACAGTGGCACCAATCTGCATCCAGTATTATCCATATAGGTGTGGTGCTCCTTGACTCCTCCTCTTTCTTGTAGATCCCGAAGACCATTATTGTAAGTTCCAACAAGAAACACAAATTCCCGAAACAGAACCATAACTGGAAATTCAACAGGGAACAGCTTCATCTGCCAACTCTCAAAAGGTGTATTCAAGCTAAAAAAGAAGAAATATATGGTAATATTGGACTCTTGTGACCGCTATTCCACAATTATCAAACTCGTCAACCATGTTATTAATCCAAAATAAGTATCATGTCATTCATCGAATATCTTATTCACCTGTGTGTCGTGTATGACATTGTACCCTACCGTATTACGTCATCCAAAAGGCCCCATGACTGGCCTATAACTTACCACCCTGGGTAGGGTGAGTGGGAATAATACTCGCCTCTGTCATTAATAAAATCATGACTTTACGTCATGTTAATAGTAAAATCTGGTAATTTTATTAAAGACACGGAGGCTCCTATTATGCTAATTTAAAGCTGAGCAACCACCAAACTGGAAATATGTTGCACCGGGCAAAAGTAGAAATTACAAAATGTAGATTCATTCGACCAATCTACTGCCCGTAGGATGTCTTCCAATCTACAACCTATCATGGAAGCTTTAGAAGCCATAGCTCCGCGAATGGAGTGTGACGAAAAAAATTGACGTGTTAATGCCTTTCATGGCCAACAACCATTTGATCCAACAAGCTAAAGTAGGAGTAGATAGCGGTAGATGAGGTACTTTGAATGAGATGAACAATGGACGGTTTTGATCTGAACGGAGTGAGATCGTACGGCGCGCATATTCCTTCAGGCATAAATTGGGCACAGGTTCGGGTTGTCTGGAAATGACGGGTAGAAAACTTACTTAGTCGATGATTTCGTCCTACATGAAATATTAAAGGACACTCTGTTCGGGACAAAAACGCGTGCTTGCCAGTCTAATGCTCTGACATCAGCCACCTGTTTACATGAAAGCAAACAAAAACAGCATCAACAGCTTGGCCGACAATTGTTTTAAAGAAAGTTTGTGGTTTAATGGCCAAGATTCGATAAAACTTAAAATCACATTAACATACAAAAAGGAAGAATATCGAGCCCGAGGGGGTCGAGCAAATCGAATGCCTTTGAGCAAACGACAGATGAGGGCATGTTTAGCTATTTGAGTACCATCCAACCCCATATGTCTCGCCGATATAGCTGATCTGTACAGGTTTATAGTACGAAATGCTTTTCCGTCTTCAAAGAGTAAAGTCAAGAATTGCAAGATTGTTTTCACAGGAGCTGATATGGGATCCACTGATTGTCCTACGCACCAATCCGTCCACTTCCTCCAAGCCGACCCATAGGAACATCTGGTACCTGGTGCCCACAACTCTGCCAAGAGACTGAGTGTCGACTGCAAAACCTCCTCGAGATTCCATGATCATCTGAAATGAGCCATGCCATCAGAGGAAGTAGACCCTGGTCGGTCAGCTCGTGACTCATTCCCTCTGGATTGGTCAATAGGTAGCCAGAGTCCCTCTGGAATATCGAAGGACTGCCAGAGTCCGAGAGATTAGTTTGAAAGGTGGAAAAGCATAATTCCTGCCCTTGGTCCAGTCTTGTATGAATGCATCTGTAGCCAGAGCATCTGGGTCCAGTCTCCAACTGAAGAACCGAGGGAGTTGGGTATTCAGTCGAGACGCGAAGAGGTCTATATTGAAAGGCCCCCAGAGTCGAGAGAGACGCTGGAAGATCATTGGATGAAGATGCCAATCCCCTGCGTCTCGAAGGTATCGGGAATTCCAATCCGTCAGTGCATTGTCTCGTCCGGGAATGTATTCTGCTATTACCGAAATGCTGTGTTTCAGACAATAATGCCAAAAGTCTCGAGCCATCAGTACCAGAACTTTCGACTTCGTCCCTCCTAGGTTGTTGATATAACGCACCGCTGAACCGTTGTCCAGCTTGATTAGGATAGAGCATGAGATGCCTGTGGGGGTCATGCTGCGAATGGCAAAGGATGCCGCTTACCGTTCTAAGCAGTTGATGTGTAGCAGCATTTCTTCGTTGGACCATCTGCCACCGGTGGAAACTGACCCGCAATGCGGGCCCCAGCCGTGTAAGCTGGCGTCCGACTCTATGACCAGATCTGGCGTCGACCCAAATATCGCCCGTCCGTTCCACGCCTCCATGTGGGCTAGCCACCATGTCAACTCCTCTCTGGAATCTTCGTCCAGTGTAACACAGGTTTCGAACAAGTGTACGGAGCGCAGATATGAGGCTTTGAGCATTGTAGGGCACGATAATGTAATGGGCCCAGGAAGATTGCTTGTATGGACGAAGCCAATAGCCCTATGATCCTCGCAAGTTGTCGGAGGGAAATGGTTGTACGATGCATAAGTAGTCTGATCTCTTTCTTGATCGAAATCATTTTGTCTTTGGGTAGACACAACCTCTGTTGTACAGAGTCCACTTGAAATCCCAGAAATTCCATGCATTTGGAGGGTTGGAGAACTAATTTCTCCCAATTCACCAAGAATCCTAAATTTTGGAGAAGGTGGACACGTAATTGGGATTGAGACTGGGATAGAAGAAAGATATCGTCTAGGTAGATTATTAATCTGCAGATGAATGCTATTACTGGCTTCAGTACCTTTTGTGAAGCACCATGGGGCAGAGGACACGCCAAATGGTAGACATACAAACCTCCATTTCGCTCCTTGCCATTGAAATTGCAGTAAGTTTTGATACGATAGAGATAGAGATTGTCAGATAAGCATCCTGTAAATCTATTTTGACAATCCAATCTGATGGTAGAATGATGTCTCGAAGGCAATGAATACCCTCCATTTTGAAATGGTGGTATTGGATAAATGCATTTAGGGGTCGGAGTTTGATTACTGGGCGTACCCCGCCCCCTTTCTTGGGGACCAGAAACAGGTTGCTCATGAACCCTTGTGTCCCATGGGATTTGTTTAATACCGTGTTTTGACACCAACTCTGCGATCTCTGCCGAGATCGTGAGGTGTTCGTTGGTCATGTTCAGTTCTCGAGGGGCTTGCACCTGAGTAGGATGAGATGAGCTCTAATAGGTATCCCTGTATTGCATTTAATCCCCAGGCATGGTGAAACAATGCCAATCTGCCCCCCACTTTAACATGGGAAAACCGGAGATACTCAGTACTCACCATAAGGTCGTCTGCCTGAGACAGACCCCCGCGATCTGCGGGAGTTCCAGGGGCGTCCATGAGTTGGGAAGAACGGGGTATAGTTTCGCTCCGGTACCGGTCTCTGGGTATTGAAGGAACCTCTGCCTGCTCTAAATGAGCCTCGAAATCCACGGCCGGATAGACTGCCCATCCAAAAACCCGAGGTGCAAATACTCTCTTAAGAGAAGTCTGAGCTTTGTCAATTGCTGTAAATGTTTTTACGTACAGCCCAAGGTCCTTAATAAAGGATTCGCCAAAAAGTAAGCAGTTAGCGGCTGGCCCCGGCTCATTGGTAGCCATACTGACCAGTTTGGGCTCTATTTTCAGGAGAATCGCCTTGCGGCGTTCGGTTGCCATAGCCGTATTGGCGTTACCCACCATGCAGACTAACCTCTGCAACCAGCCTTTCGCTACTTCGAAATCAAAGTCACTTTCGCCCGATTGGGCAGATTCCACT